GCTTTTCTGGTGTGGTTCCGGGAGAAAAGCTACCTTCCTTTTACCTGTTCCACAGGTTCACTATCATAACCAGCTTTTCTCTTCCCTTTTTGAACATCTTTAAGTTTGGGGTCACCACTTAATGTTCCAATGCACTTAACCTGTCCGCTGTTGTTGGATATTAACTTTTCATTTTTTCAAGGATTTATTTATTTATGATACAAGAGCTGGGGCACAGGCCAGAGATGCCAGGGGGTGAGAGGCGCCACCAGAGACAGAGCAGGGAACAGAACAGGCAGATTGACCGAAATACACTGCTGAGGGGAGCAGTGGGTGAGCCAGGAGAGGTCTGCTGGGCCATGTGGGTTTCTCCCAGGTCCGCCGGGGATGGAACTCATGCTGCAGAGGCTGGGGATTGCTCCACAGTGTGGTGCTCAAGCCCTTGCGCCACCAGGGAGGCCCTAACTTCTCATTTTAATCCATTAGGTGCTTGTGATACTGCCCAATTACTTCCTTGGAATAAGCTGCAAGAAGGTAAATCTCTAGGCTATAAAGTATATGCAATTGAAGGTTTTGATGGATGCCATCAAATTGCCCTCCAGGAAAACTGGCTCTGCTTTTCCATGACCTCCCGCCACCCCATTTCTCTTGCAAATGTCAATCTGACAGCTTCCAGTGGAAACGCATATGGTAACCTACATGACATGAACCCACTGAAGAGGGGGCGGAGGACTCTGTTTTCACTTCACTTGTGCCTGCCAGTAACCCTGGCAACCAAATAGCAAAACAGCCCAGGGGAGCAGCTTCAGCAAGGCATGAGCGCTTCACCTGTGCAGGGAGCGTGTCTGCAGGCCTGATGCTTGAGGGCCTGGGTGTTCTGCGCTTTTAGATCAGCACTATCCCAGTTAAATGGTGACTTCAGAGGTCATAGTAGCCACATTAAATAGGTAAAAAGAGACAGGTGATCTTAATTTTAGTGTTACCTAGTAGATCCTGGTCTCAACACATAGCCATTTTATACTGTCTTCAAAAATTGTTTTACATTTACAGCACATCTCAATTTGGACTAGCCAAATACTAACTGTTCAGTGACCACCTGTGGCCTGTGCCCCTGCAGAGAGAGCAGCAGGGATGGGGGAAGGCTGACCCCAAGTCCTGGTAGAGGTGGAAATTTCACAGCTGATGGCCTCTCCCCCCACGTTCTATATAGTTAACATAAACCAGCACACCTTTGCCTAATTGGGTTCGCCTTTGAGAAGCAAATTTCAATTAGGGGTGTGTTGAGTTTAATCTACCCCACATGCTCATTCCATGGTTAAGTCTGTGTAAGGGCAGGAATGGACACTGAGCAGGTTCTCTGATCCACCAGACCGGGGTAAGGGAGTAGTCTGAGTCCTCAGTGGCTTTTGCAGGCTTTTACTGGGATTACCAGGTACACAGCAGGCAGGGGGGCTGGGGGGCCAGGAGGCTGGCAGGCCTCCCAGCCCCCAGCAAGTCTTCTCTGTCTGGGTTCTCTGGCCTTCTCTGGTTCTTCTGCTTTGCTTCTCTGCTTCTCCTGTTTCTCGTTCTGCTTCTGCTGGCGTCCCCGCGACGACCCCCCTAAAAGCCCAGTCTCAGCCCAGGTGAATCCCATCTACCTATACCCACACCCTACTCCAGGTGCCCGCCATCAGGCATGCATTCTGGACCGCAGGGATCTGTCATCCATCCTAATGGTGGGAGGGCAGAAAAGCCTGACACTTTTTACCTGACCCTACAGTCTGAAACTATACATGCTGCAGATACCAACTCTTTCAAACACATTCTCATAGATGCACAATGAGTCCACTCCAGATCCCTCTCAGGTCTTTTAGGCGTGAAGTGGGGAGCAGTGCAAGGCGGGTGGCTTGTACTCTGGAGAGTGGTAAGGGGAGCCTGGCAAGGCTGGAGGCTTTTTATAGAGATGCTAGGCAGCTGCTTTTGTCATCCATCACAACCCCTCCTTTGTGAAGGTTTGTGGAAATTTAAAAAGCAAAATCACAATCAAGGAGCAAATCCCAAAGGAATTATAAGCTCTTGCTCCCCAGGCCTCACTTTGTTCATCTTTACATCCCCAGTGCCTGCTAACTCTGCAAAGTGGTCTTTTAAAACTGGGTTGATCATGATTTACCCTGGACAAAGGAACAGGAGTACTGCCCTCTTAAAGCTAAAGCCCCTTAGGTTTGGGGTAGGCATGGGCTGTTCTAAGGTTTAAAGTTACATCCCAACTCCTTAAAAGAATTATGCTCATTTTACTAGATTTTCGTTCACAGAAGTGACTTCTGGCTCAAGCAAGTAAACACAATGTCTGCAAAGGCAAAGGCTTCTGTAGTGTCAGTCATTTGGGAGACACTGACAATGTGGACGCACTCTGCTCCGAACTGTCAAGACATGCAAATCCAATATACTTGTCACATGCATACACGTGTGCCATAACCTAGTATTTGTTGACTGCAATCTGAGAGGAACCTGGATGTACCCTTGGAGAAGGAAGAGCAGGCTCCTGCCTGAGTTACAAGCCTCCCAGTTCCTCTTACTCCTGGCCAGCTCATGTCCCAGATGTGGGCCAGGACTCATTGAATTTATCACAAGGTTTTAAAAAAATGGCATTATCCCAGGGTCTTAAGGTAAAAAAGGAAAGCACAGGAAAATGGCTGAGGCCAGACAGCTAAAGCTTTAAGTAAAGCCGAGACAAGATAGCATTTGAGAAACTTCCTAGGAAAGTTAAAACTGCAGTGCCTGAGTGCTAACTTGTACAAAGTTCAGGGCAATAGAAAATTTTCTGGGTGAGCCTTTTGCACCCTCACTGGTGTGGGGGAGCAGTAGTCTTATCGTACCAGGGGCTAGGTTAGTCCCAGCAAGCAGCCAGCCCTGCAACTCTTTTAACTGCCTGCCTGCACTGCAATTCCTTTTATCTGGAAAACAAAAATCTGCCCTTGAGACCATCGTTAATGAGGAATGACTACCTGGTACAGAATCTGGTGAGTTCCCAGGTGTCACCATGGCTAATTCCTGAAAGTTCAATTTGCCAAATTCAGAGGGTAGCTGTGCAGGTGACGCACCCACCAGCAGAACTACTGGTCTCCTGCTCAGGGCTGGCAGTGCTCACAAGGGCTTAATTCCTCTCCCGGAATCTAGCAGCTAAGGAGTCTAATTCAATGATTTTCTGGAGTGTTAATTATATAGCAAGAGCTCAAATTCAGATTAATCGCCCTCATTCACAATTTTGAGCTTTTTAATATTTCTAGCCACCCAGCAAAAGAAAACGCGTATCATATATGCCCTTTTTTCTCCCTGTCAACCCCTGTTCAGTACATAATCCATGATAGAAATCTCTTCCCTGGCAATACGGACCTGACATGTCTCAATATTGACACGGCCTTTGCCAAGGAATAAATACCATGTGTATCGGATACAGGGGCTCAGCTCTAGTGTACTTATCTGACTCAACTAGGTGTCATGAGGGAACCTGAAGACAGGAACTTGCAGGTGTGATTGATCCCATGTGGCCCTACTGAACAACACAACCCCTGTCACAATGCCAGGCATACAGCTGGCACTCAGTAAGTGTATGTTGAATATGGGGCCTCCCTTGTGGCGCAGGGGTTAAAGACAGCTCTATCAAGCTAGCTCCAGCCACTGCTGCAAGAGTTCAATTCCCAGCTGGCCAGGGAGCTGACCCACATGGCACAGCAGACCTCTCCTGGCTTGCCCGCTACTCCCCTCAGCAGTGTATTTCAGTAGTCTGCCTGTTCTGCTCCCCACTCTCTCTGGTGAATCCTCTCCCCCACCCCAACATCTGGCTCATAGTTCTTGTATGCATAAATAAATCTTTAAAAAATTAAGTATTTGTTGAATTAATGTTAATTAAAATAGGAATCTTCTTAAATCTCCTCAGAAATAAGAACTGGTGGCCCAGTTCGTAGTAATATGTCAAATAAATCCAGAGACACTTAAACTGCATCACCTGAGTAATATTAAACTCCATTTAAACAAATCTCTATTCAAGTTGTTAGCACCACAGAAAACTTTGGACTGTGATGAACTCTGACCTGAGATTTTTTTTGCTTTTTGATTTGTTTCCCTAATTTTCCTTAATAAAGAGGTCAATTTTGCAATGCCCTAGTTTTCATTTGCATTTTCATTATAGCTGGAGTTGAAGAGAGTAGGAAGAAACTAAACACCCAGTGCTCCTGTAAGAAAAGGAAGTTAACAAGGGCCTCCCTGCCAGCGCAGCAGGTTGAGCGCAGCCCTGTGAAGCTGTCCGCAGCCTCTGCAGCGCTGGCTCAATCCTGCCAGCCGGCGAGAATCCCACATGGCGAGGCAGACCTCTCCTGTCACACCTGCTGCTCCCCTCAGCAGTGTATTTCAGTCCATCTGCTTATTCTGTTCCCCGCACTATCTTTGGTGAATCCTCTCACCCTTCCGCGCCTCTGGCCTGTACCCCAGCTCTTGTATAAATATAAATCAATCTTAAAAAAAAAAAAAAGAAAAGGAAGTTAACCAACTGCTGACAATAAGAACACAAAGGAAATCTGGTTGCAAAATAAAAGATTATTACAGGGCAAAACAGCATGAATTTTTATCTATTAGAAGCACATCGATGTTTTCACATGAGCAAACAATCCATTTAATCTAACAGTAGCTGCTGCCCATCATTACCAGTAAAATTTTTTAAAAGTCTTAAGTTTTTTCTTGGACTTGGTGATATCCTCGTAGGTCATCCTAGTTTGATACTTGAGGAAAACATCCTTAGATTTTTAACTTAAATTGTATTTGTGCTTCAGAAAACAGTAAATTCTACCTATCCACAATAAAAAAATCTAAGTGATTTGAGACCTGGAAGGGTCTGAGTGGCAGGAGCAGAAAAGAGGTCGGAGCCAGGAGAGTCCAAGGACAGACTCTGCCCAAAGGCCAAAGGCGAGTGGCCACGTCAGAATGGAGACAAAGCAGTTGACCCCTCTGGGCAGACAGGAAGGGAGCAGACACCACAATGACAACAAACCAAAGAACATTTATTATGTGGGAGAGTCAGACGATGACAGGAAGAGCAGGGCGTATTTTATTATGAAATATTTCACACATACAGAAAAGTCTAGAAAGTAATAAAACTCATGTATCCATCAACGAAGTCTAGTGTAAACATGAAGCAATATTTTCTTCAGTAACTTGAAGTAATGAAAAGTTAAATACACAGTTGAACGCCTCCTACGTATCCCCTTCCTGATATCCCTAGGAATTAGGTATGAATCTTTTACGCAAGATTTACATGGGAGGAAACCTTAAGAGAACAAAAATAAAAACTACCCAACCTAATAGAAGAGTAGTAAGCAAACAACAGTGAAGGCATAACAGGTCATTAAAGAAAAAGCAGACAAAGAAAAGGTTCCAATAAACGTAAGATGCAGTACTTTCTCTCCTAAGTCTAGGCTGTTCCTTTCTCACAAGTGTCTAGCTCCAGGAGAGACTGTTCCTGAAAAAGAAAATCAACTATCATTATGCCTTCCCTGAAAACTCAAATCACTGTGATTCTTAATATCTATTAAGAATAAGCACACCAAATATTCTCTTTGAACTAAAATTACACATGTAAGTCAGATCTGCCAGTTAAAAAATATTCACCGCCATAACCGTGCTGTTTTATATAATTATAGTTCTCCTTTAAATATAAAAAATACTTTATATTAACACTGTGTTGAAGTGCTTGTTATTGTGGAGCAGTTTTATGTTATCATCACAACATCCTTAATTGTTAATCCTAAGAAAACAAGCTTCTCCAGAGAGGATGAAACACTTGAGTTTGAAACACATTATCTTTAGGGAGAATAATTTAAAGGCACAAATATTCAACTATATTTTCACCACAATGAAGGAAGTATGCTTAAGCAGCCACGTAAGTAATTTTTTTCTAATGATAAAACCCCTTAGTTGCACCCCCTTCAGAACCACTCTGAGCTAAAACCACACTTGGAATGCACACAAGGCAGCAGGCAGCTGCAGAGGGACCAGCTAGGGGACAGAGGATTGCAGCCTTGGGGGCAGCCATCTCTCTGAGCCAGTTTCCTCATTGATAAAACAGTGCCCTTTTTTTCCAAGGGGGTTTTGAAAACAAAATACGTGACTAGCTGTGGAAGGGCTCTTTCTATGAAGCATCCAAATATAAGGTATTATTCTGCATTCAAATATAGACAAAACATGTGTGTTTAATCCCACAGTAAGGGAAGAGCCAGTATACTATGCTTAAAACCAAGTTTTTTAAAGTACTGTCTTCAACCTATCTAGAAATGATAGAAAACATGGCTTTCCTCTGAAGTTGTGTGTGTAAGCACCTCAATATCAGTATGAAAGATAACTTACACAGGTGAAAAGATGTAAGTGCATAAAAGGTAATCATATTTGATTAGAAATATGATGACTTGGCATTAGAACTAAAATCCAGAAATCCTTGTCATTACAAGTTTCTTAAATTATGAACTTGAAATCATCATTAAAGATTTTAATTTTTTTTTTTTTTAATAGAGGCATGTTTTATTTATTTATTTTATCTGTTTGTTTTTGTTTTCACATGCACTGGGTACAGTCAGAAGCGCGGGAGGGTGAGAGAATTCACCAGAGCCAGAGCAGGGAGCAGAGCAGGCAGAAGGACCGAAGTACACTGCTGAGGGGAGCAGCGGGCGGCAGGAGAGGTCCGCGCGCCATGCGGGACCCTCCTCCGGTGGCCGGGGAGCAGCCGGGGATCAAACCGGCGCCGCAGAGGCCGCGGGCAGCCTCGCAACCCAGCGCTCAACCGCTGCGCCACCGGGGAGGCCCATTAAAGATTTTAAACTCAAGTACACAACCCAGGAGTCAGTATTAAAACGTAATGCACTAGAAAGGACTGACAATTGTAAATTGCAATTTAAAGTCAGTATTTATTAAAAATAAAATAAATCAAAACTTACAAAGGAAATAAATCATAAGCATCAAAATTGTGGATCTTGCACTAAGGACATCTAACTTAGGAGTTAGCTGCACTTTCTTAGAAACACAAAGATGACCAGTGCATTATTAAATACTGCCCCACCGAGCATGCGTGAACACAGCAGGGCCCTAGTGGAGAGCTGTCGCACTTGCAGAGGCCACAGAGGGCAGGGCGTATTTGCAAATGGCTTGATATAAACTGATTATGACCAAGAGGGGTAAACTTACAAGTCAATCAAAGTTCCGTTGCTTGTGGCTGGGCTTTTAATAAACCCAAAAGTGGTAAGGAACATTTCATTTTTCTCGTAAGTTCTAACTGGCTACTGGATCATAAAGTAATTTCTGAGGTTCACTTTAGAACAAAACATTCCAGACAGGAAAATAAGCGGACAGAATATGGGGTGACCTTCACAGAGAACACCCTCAACCACCAGACCACCACAGCCTGAAGGGGAGTATATTTTGCCTTGAAATGAAATGTACGATCCGTGGACTCTGCTCTCCATTCCTGGACCTTCAGAACCTCTTCACAAAAATTTCTAAACAGTTTTTAAAGCAAAGTGCACACAAGTGAGAGTTAATTTCACACCTAGATACAAAAAAACTTGAGGCTAAGCTTTACCTCACAATACTTTTTACAGGTTCCTCTATGTATCCATAAGATGAGCTTCTTAAAATCAAACAATATTAAAGAAAGGCTCCAAATAAAAGACAATCAAAATAAAAGCTTGGGAAACAGCAGAAACATTACAACCAGACTCCAGAACTTTAGGAACCAGGTTCATCCCCCCAACATGACCAGGCTGCCCAGTGCTTACAGAAGTGGCAAAACCATCACATTTGACTTACTTAACTTTTCAACAAATTTTTCATTTCAATAAATTTATTCTGATTGGCTGGATTGTTTAAGAGCAAGAGAAGAATCTGTTCATGTTTTTCAACCTATGAGTGAAAAAGAATGGTATTAATGAACTTCTGAGACTGTTAGGAGTATAATTTCACCTAGAGATGGTTTTACCCACCTGCTTCCGTAACTCGGTGCAGCAACAATTCACGCCGTGTTTATTCTCTAGAAGCAAGTGCAAAAAGCCATCAGAAAAGACAAAACTAACCCAAACAAGCCCTAGGAACCTGACCGTAGAACTGGGATTGCCAGAGGGGGAAGGTGGGGATGGGAATGGTTTTATAAAAAGCAACTCGATAACACACATTATAAATAATAAAAAACAACTTGGAGTCTGGACACAACACAGATCTGTCCCTCAAGCACGGGTTCTACTAGAAAGGACTTGATCAATTAACTTTTTAGTTAGGTTTTATTATCTGCTGTGCCCTACATTTTAGCAAATGAATGCCCTCATCTCCAAGGTTTCAGAGGGCAGGCCTGCCAAGTGACTGATCACCTTATGAGATACCGAGATACTGTAAGATCCAATTTCAAAAGTATAGGTTACTTTGATCAGTATCAAAAGTAAGGTGGAAATAACTTTGAATTCCTGACATTTCTAAAGCTCTCAACATGAATTCTACAGTGTTGATGAGCCTCATCAAGGAAAAGCTGGACCAGAAGAACTGCTTCCATTCGGGTGCCTCTATGAGGTGGCAGTGTGAACAGGCACCTGTAGCTGGATTCTGGGCGGGAGTGGGGGGTGGTGGTGTGAGGAATGAAGGAAGTGAGGTCACAGAGAAAGAAAGATCAGGTCAACAAAGTGGATTATATCTGTTATTAATTAAACTTGAAAATGTACCTTTATTTAAAGCACTTTGTTTTTCCGATGTGGTATTTTTTATCAGACCATACATCAACAACTTATCCCCTATATTGACAGTGCCACTGTCAGAACATTTCTCAACTGACACCATATGGACATTCTTAATGATTCCCTTTACTGAAAGCATTACAGTCTGATTCAACATGAAATTTTTTAGTAGTTCAATTATTAATTGTGAACAGCTTCCATTCAATTCCATTAGACCTGAGAATAAAAGAATATTATAGTTAATCAAAAAGATAAATTGAAAAACAGATAAATTATCTAAGGACAATAAGCAAAGGGCTCACTAGTGTTAGCTAGATTTGGGTGTGCTTTGATATACCATCGCTGTTGCATTAAAAAAAAAATCAAACTTATTCAATAAACAGTCAGTGATCACATAGTGTGTATCAAACACTAATCCAGATCCAAGGGCACGAAACAGACAAAGCCTGTCTTCATGAACATAAATTCTAAGAGAAGACACAACAATAATAGACATAATTTTCCAACTCTGTCTGTGGTTCAAAACCAGAGCAGACATTGTCATTTGAATGCTTCTAGTCTCCAGAGAGTTGTGGCAGAGCAGAAAGACTCCAGCTGATAGGTCAGGGCCCCATTCAAACCTGGCCATGCCTCTTACTAGCTGTGCAACCGGGGGCCAAACAGTCTCTGGACACTGCGGCTTTTGAAACTAATTGTAAAATAAAAATGGAGTAGCTTGAAGATAGTTTTTGTGTGAATAAAGAATAAAAGATAAAATTTCCTTGCAAATTTCGACAGATATTTAGAAATCTGGTAAGTTAACTGCTTTACCCATTTGACTCAGTCTTAGAGCCGAAAAAGCAGAGAAAATGAATGATACAGACTCCCAAATTGGAAAGTAACTTGTCTACCTTCAAGTGAACATTTGATGATTTGGAAAGGAAGCTCCAGGTGGCTGGTGGAGATGGGCTGCACTCTGGAGAGAGGCAAGATCTCGGTGTTTCCATAGTCGGCATAGAGGACCTTCACATCAGTCTCTGATGTCGCCAGGACAATGGCACGGTACCAGAAGTCGTCGTCTGGAAATACAATGGAATCTCAGGGAAAATGTTACATTCAAGTCCCTCCTCCTTTCAGAAAGTTATTCAGGTTACCATAAGTGGTCACTTAGCAATTCACACCAAGATTTCTGGCTCAGAGTCCAGATAATATGTAACTATCGGGCCTCCCCGGTGGCGCAGCAGTTGAGTGCTGGGCTGCAAAGCTGCCTGCAGCCTCTGCAGTGCCGGTTCGATGCCCGGCCACCGGCTCAGACCTCTCATGCTGCGTCTGCTGCTCCCCTCAGCAGTGTATTACGTCAGTCTGTCTGTTCTGCTCCCTGCTCTGGCTCTGGTGAATTCTCTCACCTCCCGCACTTCTGACTGTGCCCAGTACTTGTATCAATAAATAAATAAATAAATCTTAAAAAAAAAAAAGTAACTATCACCTCTACTCCCTTCTAGATGTTACTAAAAGAGAATTACAGGATTAAAAAGGCCAAAACTACAATGATAGAGAATAAAGGACAATATAAGGGAAGCTGGAAAAGATGCAAGAAAGGAAATGATTTAGAAGAGCCCAACCAAAGTTGGCTGTGGGGGAGCCAAGAAGCAGCCTAGTTTCCATCTCCCCAGCGCCAAACCTCAGTAACTGGTGCTACCCCTTCAAAGGTAAGACTAAAAGATGGAGCCAAAAATGGGGATCGAGGGGGCTTCCCCGGTGGCGCAGCGGTTGAGCGCTGGGTTGCGAAGCTGCCCGTGGCCTCTGCAGCGCTGGTTCGATCCCCGGCTGCTCCCCGGCCACCGGAGGAGGGTCCCACACGGCACGCAGACCTCTCCTGCCACCCGCTGCTCCCCTCAGCAGTGTACTTCGGTCCTTCTGCCTGCTCTGCTCCCCGCTCTGGCTCTGGTGAGTTCTCTCACCCTCCTGCGTTTCTGACTGTACCCAGTGCATGTATAAACAAAACAGACAAATAAATAAAAACATGCCTCTATTAAACAAACAAACAAAAAAAAATGGGGATAGAGTAAAGGAAGCAGTTTTCTTCCCAAGACACAACTAGACTTTAGTTTATGAACACATTTATATATAACAAGTAGGATAGTCTACATTATGATAAAAGTTGAAAAAGGACAGAAAGGGTCCATTGAGAGAATTTATACCAATGCAGAGAACAGGAGGAAATTAGTGAAAGTTTACCAAATACTAACAACAAAGGTGTCAAAAAAGACATGTAATTACAGAAAACTATGTGGGCAGGCTGTCAACAGTACTTATGCAGTCCTAATAAAGTAATAGAGAATACTTACCTAGCCAAAAAATATGACATACTTCTACTGGGAATAATGAGAACAAAAGTGCAGATCCAGTTGTCACACAAAAGAAAAAGAAAACTAAATAATAAATTTTTAAATTGCAAATCTAAATTTAAAAATGAATGCTATTTGGGCAAAGGTCAAACATATGAAATTCACCGCTGGTAAAGGTTGATGGAATTAGTCCACTGCCACCCTTCAGGCACGTATGAACATTTCTCTAAGAGGTCCAGAGAGAAGCATGCTTCCATAGCTTGTAAAACTATTTACATTCTTTGATTCAGGTGTTCCAGTCCTGAAAATTCACCTCAAAGTATGTATAGTTATCAAAATTCCTAGCCAATATATTCTAGCCAATAGCAAAGAAAAAGGTCATTTATATGAAATATTAAATAGGAGAATGTTAAAATACATCTGATTCAACTGGTCAGATTCCCTAAGACAATTTATTCTTTTAGAATATTCACAGAGTCCTATAAATTACTTGCAATTCCTCTCTATGTAAATATTACTGACCTGCCATATAAAGTGTGGTTATTTGGACCTGGTTATCTAGAAGTATAACAGATTTGTAGGTATCAACCTGTAACCTTGCCTAAATATAATCTATGGCTATTCAACAGAAAAGCTGAATGACACACATCAATTAAACCCATGACTTTGTTTTTCTTAATGTAGCTACCTAACCAAATAAAATGTATCTCTAAAGCAATTACCCATATAACCTCATGTAAAAGAGAACGGATAAAATAGCTTCTTTTTACTATTTTACATGAAAGAATCTTACTTGTGTATTTGGCACAGCACGCATCTCCAATTCTTGGTTTGTAGGGTGATGGACTTTTCTGAGCATTGCAATATTCTAACAATTCAGCTGTCAATATATACAGTTTTTCCTGATATTCTAAAATACAGTACAACAAATACAGTAAAAAAATCTTTTGAGAAATTTTTGATGCTATTCTTTTACAAGTACATAAAAATATCAAATCTAACCACTCAAAAAAAAATCTGTGTGTATTGAAATATACATTTATATTTTAAAAACAGATATACCACTATTGGTTACCTTGGAGGGAAGCAATACTAGGAGGGGGTAAGAAGGAAGTCTCTTGGTTGAGTGGCCATACTATTATGTTACTCTATGAAAACGTATTAAGTTGTATGTACTTTTGCAATTTTTCAGTAATATGTCACAGTAAAGTACTTCCAATTCATCATATCATACATACATTGTTGTCAGGATCACATAATCCTGTACCTTGCTTTTTACTATACAGAGCAAAAACAACTATTTGTAATGTTGGTGTTAAACTTAAGAGCAGTTAATGGTATCACCACAATTTCTGGTTGGCAACTGGAAACAAAGGTTCATTTACTTAGCCCTAAAGTATCTGCCAGTGATTTTGAATAGCCACTACCCAAACTTGCACTACAAATTCACATTCTGATACTACAAGGATAAACTCAAATACATCAAAGAGATGCAGTAAATTGTAAACTTCCATGCAATAAAAAAGGAAAATTAAAGTTAACATGATACTTTTCTTTCCTATTAGGTCCAGTGTAAAACATTTCTGGGTCCAAGTTTCTAAGCTATAGTAACAGTAGGATTACACACGAGTAACAAAGCAGTCTTTCAATGCTTCTAAAAGTTTCAGTTCTAATTCTCTTAAGTGAATGTAGAGGTCAGCTTAGTAAATACAATTCAATATATACAGCATATATATTAAGTCAGAAATTAAACCACAACTAAAGACACTGTTTTGTTTTAAAAGCTATAGAAGGTGGGCCTCCCCGGCGGCGCAGCGGTTGAGCGCTGGGTTGCAAAGCTGCCTGCAGCCTCTGCAGCGCCGGTTTGATACCCGGCCCCCATCGAGGGTCCCACATGGCGCGCAGACCTCTCCTGCCGCCCGCTGCTCCCCTCAGCAGTGTGCTTCGTCAGTCTGCCTGTTCTGCTCTCCGCTCTGGCTCCGGTGAATTCTCTCACCCTCCCGCACTTCTGACTGTACCCAGTGCTTGTATGTATGTATGTATGTATGTATAAATAAATAAATAAATAAATCTTTAAAAAAAAAAAAAAACTAGAAGGTCAAGACCAGGCCGAGCAGGTGCAGAACGTAGGGCGTTCCCCTCCTGTTCACACTGTTGTTTACAACTAAATTTGCCTGAAGGGTCATTATGATCAACCCTCCTCCAAAATTGTGAGTGAAACAAAAATCATCACTCTTCTCCCGCTCACTCCCTAAGCGGGTCAGACAGGCACTTTTCACCAGACAGTTAAAAAGATGAACGTTAGTGCCTCAAATTTTGGTTTCTTACCTTGCATATTACTTGGGAGGGCATAGAACAAGTGTGGATTTATGATTTCTAATATGCTTGCTTGTATAGTTTTATTAATCGGCAGCTCTACGGTTCTCCACTGATCAGCTGAGGAGATGACTGAAAACACAAAACACAAGTTTCGCATGAAACACAACAAATTTAGTATCTTTCACCAGGAATATATTTATTCACCCAATGATTTATTCATCAACAACTGATTATCAATCATCTCAATTCTCAAAAGAAAAATCTATTTTCAGAAAATGCTCTTTTCAATTTGAGGGATTTTTTTTTGGCATACAAAAAAAAAACACATGCAACTCCATTGAGAATCCTTTGACTGCACGCCTGTAGTTTATTTCCATTTCCGGTATACTGAATATGCTTCTTAAAATTTATTCAAACTTCAGGGGATAGAAAGCTGTTATGATGCAAGTTTAGCTGCTAAGTGACGACATTAAAGGTGAACACGTGCTTGTTTCAGTAAATTTATGTTAGCTTGAACAATCTATTAATTTAGTCCCACAGAACTATTTCTATAGGAAAGTTGTGTAACCGAGGATGAGAAAAAATTTCGTTGTGTTTGAAAACAAAGGATAACATCTACTTATATCAAACAAATGTTTTAAAAGTTTACCTTGAAGCCCTGGGGTGTCAATTTGAAGATCATGTTTATAAACAGGTCTGTTATTTGGCAAGTCTTTTTGTGGCGAACTAGATTTTAAAGCCAGATGTTCATTAATGAGAACATCACTAATTATTCTGGGATAAGAAGTGGAAAGATCAGTGAGTTCAATTCCCACTCCATTTTTAATGATTTCAACCACCCGTGCCTGGAGTTTGATGCCTGCAACACACATCTGAAATCTCGCGATGGCTTCTTTAGACCAGTGTTCATTTCCAGGCTGGACATCTGCAAATAAGAACAGCATTAAAGAGCATCCTGGGTCCAAAGCGCATTTTTGCTGCAGGAACATCCAGCACTGGGGTCTTGCCAAACACACCATGTGGGTCAGCGATACTCAGTATGTGTCTATGTCCTGCCTCCGTGCCCAAGTTACTATTGATGTTGCATTTGTAAATAACACTGCTCAAGTTTCAGAGGCTCTGGAGCTTTCTTTACTTTCTCTACTAACCTATCTTCCCTTGGCAAAAATAGGATGATTATTTCTTTCAGAAATCAGATGATTATTTCTTTATAGCCACGATGCCACTAAATTATGCTGGCAGAAAATGTCAACCATACACTTTTTTTTTTTTTTGTGGACAGTTTTCTGATGACAATTGCACAATGTCACTGTAACTTCCTTAGTCAAAAATCATTTTTCTTGGACAATTTTGGTTTATTCCCTCCTGCTGATACCAGTGACCCTCATGCCTGAATGTGCATCTGACCCATGAGGACTTGCACGAACATACCTCAGACCCCACCCCAGTTTCCAATTGAGTGGCAGTTCCTGGGAAAGGTCTGAAAATATGCATGTTTAACAAGTTCTCATATGAAAGCTGCTGGTTTGGGGGTGGCATTTTAAGAAGCATTGACAAAATATGGTCTCTGAAAACAATGCTCTGATATATATATTTAACCTAAGTAGAAAGAAAACATACAAAGAAAAAAAAGGCATATATGATTTCAGACATGACAACTAGTTTACATTTTTGTACCCAATACTTCCACAATTTTTATGTGCATATGGAAATACACACATACACATATATTATCTTTCTTTTACAAAGGAATTTTTATAATAGCAGCTATTAAGCACATAACACCAGGCACAGTTATATGCTTTACATTTTTCATCTTTTATATTTTTAAAATTATTTTATTAATTGAATTTTTTTCTTACATCATTTTAGTCCCCATTGTTCTCTCACCACCTTAATGACTTTTTGAGAAAAAATGAAAACATAGTTTAAATAATTTGCCTATGGTCTCACAACTAGTAAGTAACAAGAATTGGTTAAACACTGCTACCCTGCATCTCATTTATAATTTGCTTTATTCACTGAAACCAAGAGCAATTCTTCATACCTATACCACATATTTAACATCATTTTAATGACTATGATAACAGCAAACACATAGAACTTTCTAAGTGTCAGGCCTTATTCTGTATTAAATTTCCTTGTAGGCTAAATGAGTGCAAGCCCAATGATTATTTCTCTGGGATAAAATATTATCAGAAGAAAAGTTGCTAAGTCTAAAGGTTTGAGTATTTGAGGCACATAAGGAGTCCTGCAAAATGCCATGAAGAGAATCACATGGGTTTTCACTCCCATCATCAGCATAGAAGAGCAGCTGCTTCCCTACCTTGACATCACTGCAGACACTCTGGCCAGTAGCTTCAAACATATAATTACAAACTTCATAATATGAAGTAGAATCTTCTTACACAAAATATGCAAATTACAAACAATATTTAGTACTCTAAGTATTAGAAAAGAGTTGAGAAAATGTCTTATTCTGTACCATACCTATTAACCAGCATTGTATTCCTTGAAATGGAAGATTTAAAAAATTTGATGAGATCATCTGGAGTTCATCCGAAGTAACTTCTTCAGTGTTTCCATAATCCACAAAATGTACTTTAACGTTTCCATTTGGTAAGATTTCTTTGACTAAAGCTCGGTACCAATTACCATCACCTAGACGCAACACAGGGTAGTTCCCTTCTGTTAACATCTGAAACTCTGATCTCGAAAAAGACAAACTTTGTCTAAAGTAGTTAATAAATCTCTCCTTCCTCAGTGATATACCTTTAGTTTTTCAAACCCTTAGGATGAGAATCTTTAAAATCCATTTTTAGAATATCTCCAGATTTTTTTTTTAAATGATTTATTTATTTATTTATACAAGCACTGAGTACAGTCAGAAGCACAGGAGGGTGAGAGAATTCACCAGAGCCAGAGCGGGGAGCAGAGCAGGCAGAGGGACCGAAGCAGCGGGCGGCAGGAGAGGGAGCAGCGGGCGGCAGGAGAGGTCTGCGCGTCATGTGGGACCCTCCTCCGGTGGCCGGGGAGCAGCCAGGGATCGAACTGGTGCTGCAGAGGCTGCGGGCAGCTTCGCAACCCAGCGCTCAACCGCTGTGCCACCGGGGAGGCCCTATCTCCAGATTTTTTATAGCACCACTCTTTTACATCTGATAAAGATCAACACTTACACTTGCCCATATTTATAATCTGGAAGACTTATAATACCACAGTTGTGTTTATTGACAAGATAATATTCAAAAAGGGAAACTCTTGCAATGAAATTAAGCGTTTCATCAAATATATTAAGAGAGACATGCACCGCATGACCAAAGAATGTGCAGAATATTTCCCAGAACAAAGAAAGTGCAGTGAATAGGTCATTGCGTCATCAAATTTATTGTAATATTATGAGAAATTCTGGAAAGAAAAGCATTTATTGAAGTTTAACAAAGTTTAGGTAAGGAGGGTATCATTTGGAGAGTCCTTATTACAAATAGACAATAAAAAATATGCTACCTTAACTATTCATCACTGAATCTAAATTGTAAAAAGTATTTGCTTAAGCATTAGGAGGAAAATAAACTCTAAAAATAAATGCTGAGTGCCAAAGAACAAAAGGTTCTAATAAAGTCAAACTCTCACCAACTACAACTTACCAGCAAAAAAAGCACAACAAGGCTGTCCTATTTCTGCCTTAAAATCAGTACGCAACTTCTGCTGGCAAAATTCTCCTAGTGATTTATTCAACTCATTGAGTTTCTCTAAAGCTGAAAATATAATACACAGCATTTAATATTTTCTTAAAATGCAAAATAGTGACTTTCTGTTGAAGTTAGAAAAGTTAACAGTCAATGTTATTCATCAGAATGGCTCAAACAAAATGCAAAGAAAAGAAAGTGTGAGGAGGTAGAGCAACTGCAACTCTCAGACTGAAAACTGTCACAATCGCTTTGATTTTCATTAATCAAAGAGGAAAACACACTTAACTTTTCAAATATGGCCAATAACGTCATTCTAGGTATACAGTGAATGGAAATGCAAAAAATTATACAAGATTTCTCATACATCATTTTGTAGCTGAGAATTAGAAACAACCCCAATGTACAAAAGTAGAAAGGAATTGTAATTTGCAGTATATCCACACAGTGGAACACCATGCAGACAAGAGCTACATACAGAAATGATGCATTGATCTCACAGTGTGGAAAAGCAGGAGGGCCTAGAAGAGGGCTGGTTCAATCACTCCATGTACGCAAAGCTCAAAACCAGGAAAGACTAATCTATGCCATTAGAAGGCAGATTAATATTTACTTTTTTTAAAAAAAAGATTTACTTATTTATGAATACAAGAACTGGGGTGTAGCCCAGAGGTGTGGGGGATGAGAAGATTCACCAGAGACAGAGTAGGGAACAGAACAGGCAGATCTACTGAGATACCCTGTGGAGGGGAGCACCAGGTGAGACAGGAGAGGTCTGCTGTGCCATGTGGGTAGCTCCCTGGCCGGGGATCAAACTCAGGCCCTCGAAGTGATAGGGTTGAGAATGACCCCTCCGCCACCAGGGAGGTCCTTAATATTTACTTTTGAAAGAGAGAAAGGGTAGGGGTGGGTGGAGACATGAAAGAAACTTCTGGGTTACTGAAAATGTTGTATTTTTTGACTGTGATAATTGGTCATACTAACGCTTTGTTTTTTGTGGATAACTTGTTATTCTGCACTTTTACTTGTGGATTTATTCTATATGTCTGCTAAACTTCAGTGAAATCAACAATTTAACTTTCAAAAATGAATTTAGCAGACATTCTATGAATTCTAAATGGGCTTAAATGTAAAGGGAAATTGTTGAAAATAAAAATAATAGCTTAAAATGGAATAAATGGCAACTAAGTACCACCAAATCTTTCTTGGGTCTACTTACAAATTCCTACATGGTTCCTTCTAGGAAAGAGTGTACTTTATTACCCAGTAAACTCAATTTGATTTCTCTGCAGCAATGTATTAGTAAAAGAAATAAATGAGAAAAAAGTCCTCTTACCCTCATCTCTAAGCACATGACAGTAAAACTCTCCAGGACTATACAGCACACAGACCACAACGTCTACTGTTTGGTCAACAGCAAGTTTAGCCCATGTCCACTCCAATGGATTTACTTTTGTTTCAACACCCAAGGGAACTGTGAACATAAAAACATTTTGCAAAACAAAGGGGCAAAGTGAGGGTGGGAGGTGAAGTTGCTGCCCAGTCTATTACTGAAGAACTGAAATTTTAATGACTTTCTTGGTGACTTTATAAGAAAGTCAATCAATGTTACAATTAACCATTTCACTGACTTTCATATTTCAAATTCAGATAACTGTTCTTCAGCTGGCAGTAACTCACAACACTCTTGCCAGATTCTCCATTCTCATCCTTACTTTGATATATTTAGATGAATGCTTGATTTTAAAGATGACACATACTCAACTATCAATTCTTTCTGCAGTATGAGAATCAACACACACACAAAATCACCTGAACACGGGCATTATCTGGTTGGCATCGTACTTACCACTGGCTTCTTTCACGTCACTGGGTTTATCTGTTGCTGCCCCCTGCTCCCCCACGGCAAAGCCTGCGTCTATGAGAGCTTTTGTCACACTGATGTTGGGTGTCACTGATTTGTCTACAAGTTCCACCAATGAACTGTTTTCCAATTTTTCAGCCACTTTAACTGTGACCATTTTGTTTTGTACAATTTTTTTCATCAGACAAATAGCTTCTGGAGTCCAAATTCCTAATGATGGCTTTACTCCTAGCAAAGAATTTTGAAAAGAATGTTAAAATATTTCTTATAGCAAGTATTTAGAATCAAGCTCCTAATTTCAAAATTAAAGTAATCCATGACAAACACTGGAGCCAAAAGGCTCCACCTGAGGAGGATTTTATAAACGTGAAAATGAAGGCAAAATTACAAAGAAAAAATGTGCAGAAATTATCTATCCTTCTATCTAAAAATGCATCACAATTTTACCAGTATGAAATATCCAGAAATCTATTAAGTTAGAAATGTAGATTATTAGCTGCCTGGAGAAGGGAGATTGACTATAAATGGACACAAGACATCTTTTGGGGATGAAGGAAATGTTCTATAATTGGACTATGATGATTCTTGTACAAATAAGTAACTCTAATAAAAATCACTGAATTTTATACAAGTCCCACAAGGGAACTGTTTGTTTCCCTGTTAAAAGTTCATTTTGTGATATGTAAATTGTATCTTAATAAAACTGTTAGGAAATCAAGAGGTATAAAACAATCCAAGAAGAAATGATGGCATGAATACATGAATAAATAAATACATGAATCATTTGTAGCACTTCTGAAAAGGGCAACTGCAAATCAACAACCCCAAGTTTATACATAGTTCATGAAATATAAAAGCCATGTAATTTATTTTAGAAGGGTTTAGCTTCACTGGTATCAAGAAAATTGCAATGACTTCATTTTGAACTCAGCAAATTGGCCAAAATGAAATACAGAAATATCTACTTAGTACACCAATGTGTGCAGAAACTGACTTCCTCCCTACATTTTTGGTAAGCATATAAACTTCTTTCTGGAGAACAACCAAAATATGTATCACAGACAGGAAGAGACACACAGCCACCTGCACCCTCCATCCCTCCTACCAACATATATTGATTGATACGTGGCTGTATTTTGCAACCAAGCCTAAGGAAGTGGCCTTGGATAGGTTGTAAAATGTAGTTAAAAGAACTTTAAAATATCCTTCTGATAAATGGATGCTAGTAAGGTACATCTGAATAAAGCTTGTAGAAGCCAATTTACTGACGGGAAAGAAGTCCCTGGTGCCAGTAAAGACAAATATTATAGTAACTCCTAGTGATATGATCACAGTGATCATAATGTTCTTAATATTTTTACAAGCAAATTTTCTCATACTTCATATAGTTAATGGGCTTATACAATATTTATAATGTAGGCTGTAGAAATAGCAAAAAAGAATATTCAACTTTAGGCCAGAGAATCATTAAATTTTATTTTAATACATAAGCAAAACAGTCATCTGTAATCATTTTTAAGGATTAGTTTTGTACTAAGAAATTATGTCTGAACACATTCCTTTATCGCCTCAATAGTTAAATTTCAATTCTAATGTCCCTACTTTAGAGTTTAGTATTTTAAGAATATGGGGATCCTAAAAATTTCTTACCTGCCAGTACACACTTTATAGCTTGCATTGGCAATTCCAACAACTTTGGGGTTATGGGACAAAGTCTTGTCAGACTAATGATTTCAAAGTTTCCATAATCCACATATCCGACCAGCACAGAATCTTCGGAAGCGTAAGCTAACACGGAGGCCCGGTACCACTGATCATCCTCTGAAAAAGGAGAGCTTCAGGCTTAAATGACTTTCCAATTTACATGGGAACATTTTTCTCCCAAATTTAAAATGCTCAACTGTAGATTTTAACATAATATCAATTTTTGAACCACATACGCTTTATTCAACATTGCTACTTTTGCTTATCAGAAGTCCTCACCTCCCAAAATGCCACATTCACACCTAACAAACTACTCAGCCACTGGTGGTTATTATCACATTTCTTGTCTCCCCAGTGCCAGTTCCTCAGCCAGGGAACATACCCTGGTCATGTGACTCCACAAGATCTTGATCAAACTACAGGGCTGATAAAAACAATAAAAATCTTTACCACCCCATTCTCTGCGTGACCCTCACAGGTCATCTTCCCTAACGTGCTTTCAGTTTAACATAAAATGCAAGTGGTATCAAGCTTCAAATGTAGCGCCCCAGTGCAAACTACTATTTCAACTTTCTGCTTAGTTGTAAGTGAAGAATCTCAGCAATACCCCTCTTACCTGAGAACTGAGCACAGCAGATATCACCAATGGTTGGATAAAAATCTGAGCGTGGAGACACTTTACCACAGTACTCGCTGAGGGATGTCTGAAGTTCAGCGAGCTTATCTGTAGATATAGATCACATCTTCAACAAAAGAAATACGTATCTACACATTATCCTCATTTTTGCAGCCAAGTCTCTAAAAGAGTGTTATCTTGATAGCACTGACAAAGGAAATGTACTCACGTCCACTTTGCAGTTGTTGGCAAAAGAAGTCTTCTGGGGTCTGAATGTGCGCCACCACCCCACAGAACTCGTCACCTACGTTCAAAGCTAACACCTTGGGGATTAGGTCACTTCTGTCGATAACAACTTTGTTTTCAGCTGTCATTTTTTGAACATCTTCAGGATCACCTTATCAGTAAAGAGAAAAATAAGCCTTTTTGGTTTCATTATGCCAGTTTTTAAGCCCCAACCATCTCCTTTTATACATCTTTAGGCCTTAACACATGCTGTACTTCACCCCCAGGGCATACTCTCGATTCCAGGCCAGCTATTTTCTGTTCTTTGTGGAATCACTTTGAAAAGGTGTCTCTCCATGTCTGGGCCAGATGCTATCCCAGAGGCTCCCACTCTATCTGCCCTTGCTCTATCACCCATAGTGTAATCTAGCCTCTGAGTGTCTGCACTGTCCTCAGAGCACCCAGCACGGAGACACCTCCACAGGGCCTTGGACTTTTGTTCCACCCACTGGATACCCCTGAACACTTGCCACTGCCAATGGCTCCTTCCTAGAAGTCTTTACCCTTCTGTTGCTCTGGAAACATCTCCATGCTCTACTAGCCACCTTACTCATTACTCAATTTTGTAGGCCCCAGGTCTATCACCCTCAGTCCACACTCTCCCCAAAGACCCCACCAGCACTGTGCTGTCATCTATGACTACCACTAGGCCATTAAGTGTCTGCCTTATTCTAGAGGGCAAAGAGCTACGGAAAGTTTCCCAGCAGAGTTGCCACACCAAGATTTGTATGTTTTAGGGCTATCATACATGCAGTACTGTAAGAACAGAGAAGGCAAAAGATATAATTAGAATATTGTTGCATTTTTCCATGAATGATGAAGATTCTTGAATTCAGAAAATGATAGTAGGAAAAGGGGAAAAAAGACATATTAAAGGATTTTTAAGAAGCATAATCAATAAAGATTATGCAACCAATTATACTGAAAGAGCAAGCGACGAAAAGTGAGGGAGAAAGTAGCCTTAAGGATGGTTGGAGTTTATGCGACAGGATGTGTCTAATCACAGCACACTAATCGGGCAATCATCTCTGGATGAGTGACTGAGACAATAAAGTATATCTACATGTAAAGTAATTGGCAGAGGAGAAAGCACACTATGAAACACAACACGTTAAGACTAGACAGTAACAAAGTAAAATGCTGATAGCAAAAAACTACTGGGTTCTCATTAACACTAAATGAGAAACCACTCACACAAATAATGAGTAAAATTTTAAGAAGAAACGCCATTCTCCTAGAACAGAGAATTATATAGCCCTACTTATTATTACTGGAATACTTAACCAAATAAAGAAGAAAAACAAATTAAAGAAATGTTAACTAAAAATCCCTCAACTCAAACTATCCTTTTTAGCACTTTGTAACTGCTGGTAACTAACTATCAGGTCAAGGACTAATCTGGAAAACAGGGAAGGAAAAGGGGGAGCTTGCGATTAGGAACAATATATTACTAAATGAAAAAATATCATCTTTCCTATATAAAGAACATAAACTGGTCATCATTTCCATGAAGTCTGACAATGTGACAGTCGTGCTTTTCTTGTTTAGTTGAAAAGACATTCTTCAATAACTGAAGTCACTGTTACTTTAATATGTATACTTACTTTGATCTGCACTTTGCTTAGAGTTTTGTTCCTTTGATTGCAAGCCGTACCCCATTTCTACAAGCACATGGTCTAAGGGTTTTCCTAAGAATGATTAAGAAAATATATCTCCATTGAGATATTATACCAAGAGGTAAAGGAAAAGCAAAATAAAAAAAGAGTTCATAATCATACAATTTGTAGATTATATCTACTAATACACTGGCATATTTTTCACCAGTTTCTGTGCGCAAGATATAGTTTAGTAATGCTCAGTTTTAAAAATTGAGGAAAAATTCCCACAACTACAGAAAATTCAGTAAAAAGAAGACATTTCAAAAATTCTAAGCAACACAAAAGATTTAGTTATCACCTCACTGGCATTCTTACAATGATCATCAATAATGAGAAAAATAAATTTAAGACAGAAAATCACTTTTTTCCTCAAAATGTAAATGAAACAAGGGTTAGCCAGCATTTACATGAACTTGAAGTTCTTGGAAATAATATCAAAAAGCTGAAGTCATAACATAAAACATATAGAAAATTAAAAATATATGTATATTTCATTTTGCATGAGGATTAACTGATGAGAACTAACATATATAGAATATTAAACTAACTAAAATTAAACTAATTAAAATAAAACTTACACAGAAAATTTAAAAATATATATATTTTATATTTCATTTCACATCATGATTAACTGACTTTTCTACCAATCACCAGGCAACACTGGATTTCTAAAAGTAGAAGAGCAGTCAATAGAGCTGAGAAGCAGTAACATGCACACTCTGAGAAGCCTGTTCGGCTCCCCACTCTGTCTCTGGTGAATCCCCTCACCCTCCTATGCCTCTGGCCTGTACTCCAGTTCTTGTATAAAAAAAAAGTTACATTTCAAACAGACATAAAGACAGAGTGGGAGAACAGGATTCCAAAGTGTTTCCATTTTCTGAACATTAACAAAATACAGTTCTGTGAAGGCTGTTCAAAGAAAAAGCACTGATAAGAAATGGATGAATTCAGAGAAATTCTTGAACTTCTCAATACAAGAGTAGACATCAAAGTAGACACTACAATGTCTACAGTAAAAAGATACTGAACTCTGACTCCATTTACATCTAGCATTCTGATCCACCCAATTCTACAAATTTGTGTCATGTCTGACAAATGGCCAAATGCTAACACAGGCCCAAAACCACATTTTCTGTCACAGTATGAATGACTTCAGAGTAAAATTAATGTGACTTCTCTTCATGCTTCTATTTGGCTAATTAACATGTTAAATGCTCCTTTAAGAATGATTGAGCTCTTACCTGAACTTGGCAGCATAATATCAACAGCACAAGTAACCACTTCCTCCTTTAAGATGTCAACTATCTTCAAAGAGCAGTACTGCTCCATTAACAGTGATTTCACAGTTTTTATACAATCATTGCTCCAATTTCCCTCTGCTGGGATAACATTGGCTAGAAAGCACTTAATGGCCTGAAAGAGTGTGCAGAAGTTACTAAAAAAGTTAGTACTTGAAAATGGTAATTTCTAACTACTTATATAAAGATTTTTAAATACAATGTAGCTCCTCCTGGAAATTTTCAAACATCTTCAAGTACTAACTGAACAACTTTACGTGTAATTGTCTCTCTTGGTACTCAATCCACAGTGCTTTTCCTTTTGGGACTTGAAATTTTAAGACATTCACAAAAGATTAGCCCTTAGTTATATACCATAAATTCAAGTTGCTTTCAAATAATGTAGTAAATATAGAGGTGATTATTTTAAATGAACAGATTAATAAGATGTGCTTAAGGCAGTGCTTAAAGAAGGTCTAATACAATGGAGCCAAGAAAGCCAGTGTTTATCTAAAGGTAGAAAATATGCCAATAGGTACTTTTAAAAATAACCATGGCAGAATACAATAAGCAAATATTGTGTATCAAAACATTAAAAAACAACTCCTTTGGAGCACTATTACGAATGTAGAAAGCAAGAGACTCACACAAGGAGGAAACAAGTCAATGTTTCTGTTTAGTTGGTGAATTCTGTTTATTGGAATCATTTCTTCATTTCCATAGTCAATATATAAGACTTGTACCTTCTTCTGCAGCATATCAATATCTTGTATTATTACTCTGTTCCAAGTCTGAAAGTGAAATATGATGATACTCAGCTTCAAAATGGCATTTCACAATTTTAGGCTAAAAAACTCTCAACCAATTTACAGAACATGCAAAGAAAAGCCTTCTGCCCCAAGGTATTCAATTAGTAAGGTAACTTAATTTTTAAGAATCTTGCTAAGAAATCCCTACAAAAGTACATTTAGGTTGCTTTAATGTGCACAACTATTCAAGCTGTTCTAGCCCCCGGAGACTTGATCACACATGAATGCATTAGCTACACAAATAAACAAAGTTCTAAGACAAGGAATCCATCTGTAACTAGCAACTGGGGAGCCTTTCAACAGAGCAGAAGGCTGGGGCATGGCACAGACCCGGAATGACAGACGATTGAGGGAGAAAACTAGAGTGATCAGGTCTCACTTTAAGCCTCCTGATGCGTCATTAACATCTTTGGTGTAAAGTTGATATGACCAAAGTCAGTGAAAACATCTTATCAGGTAACTCACTTCATCAGGGGTTACCTGGTCAACAGTGTACTTGGCAACACAAATTTCTCCCTTAACAGGAATATAATCTTCTTCATGCACCACGTTTGCATATGTTTCCTTTAGGCTCGCAGACAGTTGGTTCATGTACTCTAAAACTTCTGAAGAAAATAACTGCACATAAAAGTCACCTGGATTTTTGAATTCAGTAACTGTGCCCTTTCAAAGATGGAAAAGATGTAATAATTCACTGAGAACACAAGCAAACTATCACAAGACACAAAAAAATAGTATACAGCTCTGCACTTGAATTCTTGATCAATTTCATTAATTGTATGTTATATTTTATAGCTATTTTATGAAGTTAAATTTAAAAAGGAAATAAAACAAGAAACAAGGCAATTAAAATCTATAGTTCTTTGGCTCTCTACAGATAGGAAACAACAAATACCTTTATTTCCATGGTTTTCCTGAGTTGCAGACTTCTCAAATCACAAAACATTATTTTATCAGCACAACTGGCTACTTCCTTAGTAACTCCAAGTGAGTAGTCACTCTGGTTTGAAAAAACACATGACAAGTATGATTTGATGATACTTTGGCCCCTATTAGCTGAAATAGAGGCCGAAATAGCCTGACTCTTAGGTGTGAAATAGAAAGAGTGTAGAGAACAACATACTCCCTCAAGAATCACTAAACCCCCTGTCCAGTTAGTGTACACAGCACAGGCATCCCCCAGCAATCAGGTGTGATGGTGACAACGCTGATTTGACCAAGCACAAATCACCATTTGTGCGATACAAACGATTTTACACCATTTGTGTGATACAAATGATTTTACCTACACCAAGATAAGCCAACACAAATCCTTTTTGGAAAAAGGCTAGGTATGAACAATTTTCAAAGATCGTCTCCCTGCTACAGTTTCCAAACCAATCACTAGAGTGTCCAGATTTATTCAACAGGAAGCTCTGTTTTCAAGTAAACACTACTGAGGTGTAAAGATGAGTTGTAAGTATTTTACCCAGCTTGCAGATCTTTGTAACTCAATAAAGAAGAGTCATTCAAAATACCTTTATTTTAAAGTAAGTATGCCATACCTTGTTCTTCACTTCCATGTTTGTTTCAAAAGGTGATTTATTATCTTCAGCTTTGTTGAGACTGCAATAAAGCAACTGATTACAAAACTTGAAGGTACCAAACCAAGAATAGGGGGTCATAAATTCCACTTATGTTAAATTCGCAATCAACAAAATCTAGAAAAGTATGAAACAACTTGTTCCAGAGCAAATCACAGTGGTAATGAAGACAAACCACCCAACGCTGCTCCTTCAATGGCTTATTCTGTGCTTCTACCAAAGGCTGCCTAACAGAAAGGAAAAATGGAGGTGATCTTTATACTACCCAAAACAGAGTTTTGAGGATCAAATGAGGTTGTATATTTGAAACACTCTGTAACTGGAAAATACTATGCTAGTAAGATTAATGTATTTTAAAATCACAACTCAAGATGAACTGTCAGGTCTACCCTATTAAAATTCAGGAAATTTTACAACATTAAAAGCAAGGCACTGTAAAATTATGGGGACTACACCTGAGGGGAGAAATCAAATACAGTGCAAAAATGAACAATGATGTAAGAAAAAAAAAAGATATATATGTGTGTGTATATTTATATATAGATATACACACACATATATATATATATGAAAGCAGCAAGGCATTTAAAGCTCTGATCATTAAAAAATTCCACTTAAGGTCCTAAATCTTAATATTCAGTATCTAATGATATTCATGAAACCTCCTATTTCACTTCAGATTCAGTCTGTTATACCTCAGTAAGTAAATGTAATGACTTCTACATAGCTATGGCCTGCTTAACTGATTTCAACTTTATATTATCCAAAAACCCCTTATTTTTAAATATTCTCTAATGAATAAAAAAAAAAATCACTGACTTTGGCTGAACGGGTTTGCACACGATGCTGTGTGCGGACCAGTCCCTCCGCTGGCACGCTATAGAGCAATAGTACGTCTGCTTGCACTGCGAGCATCTCAGGGATCCTGCAGAACAAAGCCCGCCACGTCCTCAGTGCTTTATGCCAAATATTTATTGTCTTACATTTATTTATTTATCTTATATTTATTATTTATCTTATATTTAATCCAAATATAAGATGTCAAGGTCAAGATATCTTAAAAACCCTGACATATTAAGCACCATTCTATTAATCACATCAAGAACATTATTTGAAGAGAATTACACTGTATATGAGGAAGAGTTAAGATTCAGCTTGTGCTCTCCAAATGCAGAGAAAGAGTGTAAAGATGACAGGAGGGAAGACAGACTGAAAACATAACTGACTTTCCTAAAGTAGCCCCCAGACACACATTATAAAAGGAACAATTAAAGAAATGGAAAATTTTATCCTCATGAAAACAAGACTATACAAGTGGACTTGGACAGGTTGAACCTTGGGCCATTTAACAAATATAAAAGAAAAACCAATGAAGAGAATCACACTTAGGGGGGAAAAAAACCAGCAATATTTTGATATAAAATACTGAAAACATCCAGATCAATGTCTAAGCAGAAGAAAACATCTTTTTAAAAAAGCTAATAAAGAAACAACAAACACAGGCTGACCTTCAGCCTTCCCATCGTAAAATAAACAGCAAAGACAAAGAAGCTAGGCATTCACATCGTTAGTAAGTTCATGAAAAACTGTTCAAGGTCATGGACGATACAGGGGACATAAATTAAAAGCACAGTGAGACACCCACTAACACCCAGGAGAAAAGCTAAAATTGAAAAGTCTGATTACACCAAAAGTCGACGAAGATATGGAGTGACCAGGATGCATTACTAATGGGAATGTAAGATCGGACAACTGCTTTGGAAAATAGTTTGCCGGTTTCTTACCAAGTTAGAATTAAACTGCTTTATTAAGCAGTAGCTGCTGAAGCTGAGAGATCAGTATATGGTGGATGTGCACTATTCCGTTTGTACTGTATAGGTTTAAACAGTCCTTAAATATGTAGAATAACCCTTTGACTCAGTTAATTCTCTTCAGAATGTGCTCAAGAGAAGTAAAAGCATGTGTCCACACTAAGACTGTGCAGGCAGCTGTATCACAATAGCCAAAGTCTGGACACAGGCAAAATATTCCCCTGGAGAGCATCTGAACAGTTTAATAATACAATGGAACAGTACGTGTCAAAACACAAAAAATTAATGACATGCAACAACATGGATTAATCTTAAATATATTATGCTAAATGAAAAAAACTTGTTATAAAAGAGTCATACTATATGATTCCATTCATATAAGATTTTGTAATTGGCAAAGTTAATTTTTCATGAAACAACAGTGATACCTCTGGGAAGTCCTGGATAAGGTGACTACAAGGTGTATTAGGGCCTTTCTGAGGATTTGAAAATATTCTTAGTCTCGACAGGGGTGTGGGTTTGTACAATTCAATGCATGTAAAAATAATAACCACATAAAGAAGCAGTAAAATTGGGAAGGTATGAATGAACAAAGAATGGCAGGATAGCAGTAGCTGCTGAAGCTGAGAGATCAGTATATGGTGGATGTGCACTATTCCGTTTGTACTGCATAGGTTTAAACAGTCCTTAAATATGTAGAATAACCCGACAGACATCTGAGAGCAATATGCTTACCAAACAGGCCACAGCGATGGCAAGTTGTTGACCGAACAGGCGGTCCTAAGGAGTTGAAGAGCGCTGGATTATTTATGGACAACGAATTCTCAACCAACTTGTATATATTTTTTGACTTTGCAGGAGGCACATTATTGCTAGGCTTCTATTAAGAAAAGATAATAATATTAAAACTTGCAATAATCTGTTTAAAAAGTATTAGACTTGGTACTTCTTTTTCTGGTAAGATGAAGTAGATGTACTGTCCCCTATTTCTTCCACTAAGAACAACTAAAGCCCCTGGCCTTATGTAAAACAAGCATAAGACACCTGTGAAAGAGGCAAATGGACTCGGAGTCTGGGGAGCCAAAGAAAGATGTGGCAACGAGTTACCTGAGTTTTCATTTTGCCTCAAATATCACAGACTGTGCGCTAGACAGCCTAGCAAGCAACCCAGAAATGCCCAGATATGCAGACAATAAGTCACAACAAAAAATCCCGTCTCTCCAGTTAAAAGATGACAAAAGAGGTAACCTAGCAGGACAAGAAAACTCATCAGGAATTGTTCTACTCCAGGAAAAGCAAAGAAAGAACAGAGAATACTGTGACCCCATTCCCACCAGTGAAGCAGAGTGGGGACAATGCAGACTTGCCCCTTCCCCAGGCACCCCCAGTCTCCCAGGGCAGTGTCAGGGAAAGGCAACAGAGTAGGGAGCCAGGGCTTCATCCCTGTGAGTTCTCCCTGTGAAGACTACTTGGGGAGCCCTGACTTTGACCTGGCAGAAACCAGTGCCCCTCTTTCCACACCATCACTCCTGGGCGGTGTAAGAGGAAGCCCAGCGGACAATCAGGACTTTGACTACCATTCAACAGAAATGAATGTCTCCAAACCCACCTACCTCTAATCTCTTCTACCTTCTTCCTCCCTCTTGCCCACCTGCTCACTATCTGATCTTGCCACTAATCCCTTAGCTAGGGAGGGATCAGGTCAGGCTAAGGTAGAAGCTGGAGTAGATTAGAAAACATTACCAAACTATATGCCATCTAAAGTAAAACCCAATTCAAAATAAAATAGACTGCAAGCAAAAGGATGGAAATGTCATCATTAATTAATCTAAAGAAAATCAGGCCTCCCTGGTGGTGCAGACTGTTGAGCACAGTGCTGTGGAACTGTCTGCAGCCTCTGCAATGCTGGTTCCATACCCACCGGCTGTGGAACAAACCCACATGGCGGGGCAGACCTCTCCTGTCTCCCCCGCTGCTCCCCAGCAGTGTATTTCATCAGTCTGCCTGTTCTGTTCCCCGCTCTGTCTCTGGTGAATCCTCTCACCCCCTCCCCCGCACATCTGGCCTGTACCCCGGTTCTTGTATAAAAAAATAAATAAATCTTAAAAAAAAATCTAAAGAAAACCAAAATGGCTATTTTGATATCAGATGAAGTAGATTAAAGAGGAGTGAAAATTAGCAGACACTGAGAGGGAAATTATGTGATGACAAAAGAGTCAACCAATCAAGAATATATAATAATCCCAAATGTGTATGCAGCAAACAACAGAGCTGCAATATGACAGAAAATCAGCAAGAATGCAGAAAAACTCAACACCACAATTTACAAACAGAATCACAAGTCAAAGAGGAAGTCTTAGTTCAAATACGTTGAACTAAAAGAAAATGAAAAAACTAATAGGATTTACAATCACTCAACAACAAAAAAACTTAGGGGTAAATCTAACAAAACAAGCACATGCTTATAAGTTGAAAACCACAAAGCAAAATAAATCAAAGAACTAAATAAATGGATAGAATATTGTGTTAATGGATTGGAAGATTCAACACAGCAAAGATACCAATAATTTTCTAATTGATATATAGGTTTCATGCAATGCCTATCAAAATCCTAGCAAGATTTTTCTTTTGTGGGCCTCCTTGGTGGCCTAGGGATTAAGACTCAGTGTTATCACCGTCATGGCCTGAGTCTGATCCATAGCCAGAGACCTGACCCACATGGCGCAGCAGACCTCTCCTGTCTCACCTGCTGTTCCCCTCAGCAGTGGATTTCAGTACATCTGCTTGTTCTGCTCCCTACTCTGTCTCTGGTGAATCCTCTCGCCCCTCCGCACCTCTGGCCTACACCCCAGCTTTTGTATGCATAAATATATGAATCTTAAAAAAAAAAAAAAAGCACGTACAGCATCCCTGTACTGATGGGAATGTTCTGTATTTGGGCTGTGTCAATGCCAATTTCCCAGTGGTGATAACACATCACAGTTCTGCTGCATGTTATCATAGGGAAAATCTGGATGAGGGCTACACAAGATCTCTATTTCTTAGAATTGTACATCATTTGTACATCTTTTCACAAGTACTTAAGGTGTTGGGTTTTTAGAGGCACTAAATTAAAGAAAAAGAAGTTTGACCTTGACTAAAATCTACAAATTTAACAAGTTCCTTATTAACACAATACAAAAATACATTTAGAATCTTTCCCCCAAATAACCAAAAACCCAACTTACACTATTTATTTCTTTGGGTGGTGAATTATTTCCAACATTTAATGGTGACACTGAGTTTCCTGGGGAGGAAAAACATAATACCTAATAAAAGCCAAATATTACCTTATTGCTGAAAGTATAAAATACCATAATTAGGTAACAGTCATATATTAAAGCTACAGTATAATGGTCTCAAAGCTGCACTATAAATAAGCAACATCCTACTTTTCCTAAGGAAAAATTAGGATTTTGTCTGAAATTTCCTTGACTTGTGGCCCCATTTGGTGAATGGGGCCATTCACCAAAGGCCCCAACCTATTTCTCAGGCTTCTTCATCTACCAATATTCACTATTATTAGAAATTAAAAATATAAATTTATAAATTTTATAATGAAAATTGAGAATTTAATTTTTTTAAACGTATTACATGTTGACAGTTTCTTTAAAAAAAAAAAAAAAAACTACATTTTCCAAAAGGAAAAAATAGGGTGGAAGAATGAGTTTTACATTTTCGCTAATATTCTCTAATAGTCTGCTTAACCAATGACAGTTGAAATTGCTTATCTGCATGTGCATTCACTATGTTGCGATTTATTTGTTTCATTGATGTATCTGAAGTACATCTGGACTCACCCAGATATATATGATTGCAGAAAGGAGAAATATTTAATGGCCACCTCACATAACTGTGAAACTTCTTAGCACAAAGAAACTCAAGGAGTAATTTAAGGGTTAATAACAATGTGGAATATAAAACCTTATCAAGAAAGTTTTCATACTGGTACATTAGAATCCATTGGTTTATCTTGCACTTTGAATAGATTTTACCCATGCCAAGACTAGGCAAAATCAGGACTTGGTCATTTGGCAAAGACTGAGTAATTTTGAGAAACACAGATGATCTACATGTTAAAACACTGCACAATAGCAAGAAAAAAAAAATCAGGTGGTTACTATCACCAACTACCCCACCAGAAAGCATTTTAAGTATTGGGAAGCTGTCAAGCTGAGAGATGCAGATGTTTCCTGAAGTTGTCATTTTTACTTGAATTTTATCATCAGCTACAAACCACAGTGAGCTGTTTTCCTTGAAGTGACAGGCTCACATTGTTCATTCTTAAGAAAATGATTACAAGCTCTCTAAGTCTGAATACCATCATTTGTCATTCTTTTCAAGAAAATACAATGATCCAAGAAAAAAGTTTCCATTCAGCTGAAATTCAGTTCACTATTCACATCCCTGCCTTCCATTTTTCAGTGTGCCGAAGTGAGACATAATTCCCATTTTGTTAAATAAAATACTAAAAATACCTGTACAAAGGGTAAAAATTTAGTACTAATTCTTACCACTTGCTTCATCAACGACATTCTAAAGTGAGACTGGCCTTTTGAGTTTTTGCATTAAGTACAAGTGCAAAGCAACAAAAACTCCATGAACACTGGTGCCCAGGCGTGGGCCCCACCTGCAGCTGAGTTAACAAGGCCCAGCATTTACTCACATTTTCTTAACACCATCAGATTAAAGTCAACACAATGAAAAAAAGGCAAATATTGTTTTATTATTATTAGGATAAAAGATTTGACCTGTTGGGAAACCTCAGTGACCTGAGACTGCATCACTGCAGTCTTAAAAGATCACATCTCATGTATAGTCACAAAGGCTAAGTTCCAGGAGGGCCCAAACACCCTGAAAAAATGGTTTTTAGAATTGGGAATAAAGGAATGACAAAATAAAAATTAAATGAAACAAGTCAATGTCCCAGGTAGATCTTTATGAGCTATGACACGCATAAAATTTGCAAAGTATTTTTAAAAAATGGACACTCTGTAGATGACCCATAAAAAGCCAGTGTTTCTTTTCTACATTCTTAGTACAGTTCTTTGATTGTGGGTGGAAAACTCATTGTAAATATTCTCTTCCCAGGTGTCTACTTGGTATGTGATTTTTTTTTTCCTTCTAAATATTTAAATGCACACACTGTAAGGTAGTTATCATTTGGCTATTGTGTTAATACGCTACTGGTGCGTGGCTGTGTATACTTACAAAGGGTAAGATACGCCATTTGAATCAAGTACTAACTACAGTTTTCACTCACCTATCGGCAATGCCATCCGGTCTCCTTTGGCTCCAATCACTTCTCCACTGATGCCATTAGGGTGGGAAGACACTGAATTGTCTTCCTGACTAGCCAAGTACTGTTTGGTTTGTTCACAAAGCAAAAAATTGTTCTTTTTGCTTCCATTCTCTGGGCTTTTCAACCTGAAGTTAGGATGGTTAGGATACCTTCCAGGACTTCTCAAAGAGTCATGTGGTGGAAGCTTGCTCTCATTTTTCTCAAAGGTAAATGGCTCTGTCATTTTACAAGTTGACGTCTCCACGTTAGTTCTTGAAATCATACTAAGCGGCAACTGAACACTCAGAGCTGTCTAAAGAAGAAAAACATTTAAAAAGCGACTTTTAATTACAGAAGCAGCACTACAGGCCCAGGTGATTTCTGTGCATGTAACATCGTTCTCACGATTGACCCTAAAGCAGACATGACAGTGATATAAAAGTCTGACCCAAAAGCACACACACGCACAAAAAAAGACTTGCTTAGTACAAACCCAAAGTCAAACAGAATTCAACAACAGGCAAACAGTAACTCAAGACACATCAAGAGTACTCTCAGAATTTGACGCTATTCCTTACTTTGGAAAGCTTTGAAACAAGAGACTTTCATGTTTAAAATATTTCAAAGCTAGAGCCTACAACTTAATACTGAAATACAACAGAGGTTATTTTCAGATCAGGTCATCACCTACCTGTCTTGCCCCTCAGAATCCCCACCTGCTTCTACTTGACACCATGCTGTGGGTTCCGACATGCGGAACCAATTACCCAAGTGCCTTGTGCTCTCCACTGAGAAATGCCTTCCTGCCTAGTCATCTCCACAACTGGCCTCAGCTGACCCCCCCACCTTGGGTTTGTTTTTTCCCAAGTCCTTTGCTTTTGATAATCTCCAGCTGAGGTCCCATAAATTATAAATTATATCTACTGTTTTTAGGGATTTGTGTGTACCTTTCTCTGAAAATAAAATAGATGTGTTGTTGCAAATTGCTTCTGATAATCCTCTAGCCAGACATTGTGCTGACTTGTACTTTTCCTCCTGAAGAATACTCCGTGTCCTGCCCAGAAGTGATAAATGTGTACAAACAACTCTTCTTTTTTTAAGTAGGGACCTATGGCTTTGTCACAAATCACCAGCAAAACTTCTACCTAGCCTTCTCAAACTGCTCAGAGTCGAAGCTAGCAGTATCTAAATGTTGCTTAACATTTGGAGTACAAGATAAAGGCGGAAAATTCCTCCTTTTTGGTGTCCTAAATTTGTCATCTCATTTCTGGCTTTAAATTAGGCCTAGCCTAATCCAATGACAAAAGAGAAGAGGCAATGAAATAATATAAAAGAAATACACGGTCACACTCAAAGGTGGCGACCTCTTCCTGGGCCACATCCGGTGAAGATCCCTAACACACACCTGCAGATGGGAGCAGTTAGTGCAGCAGACCCTGCAGCTGCCAGAGAACATACCCCTGCGGGATCCTAAAATGAAGGATCAGACTGAGAACTACAATAAAGGAAGCACAAGAGAAATAATGGGGAATATTCCAAGCGGAAGATAATCTCCAGAGGAAACTGAATAGGGCTATGACTACGGATTATCTCTAGACTCTGCACAAGAAATACAAAGAACCGGCATTAAAATACAGAGGTAACCACCAGAAAAAGCAGAAACAATGCATAACTTTAAAATTACAGAAGGGAAAAAAACTCAATCTAACAGAAATGCTTTTCTCTTAATATAGCAAAAACCGATTGATGGAGGGAAAATTCAGTCTACAGTAAGGACACATCTGCCTTAGACACTAGTTATCGGACAGTGAGTGACAAATACTTCAAATATTTCAGTGACAAATATTTCACAACATACTGGCTCTAATCAGGGCCCAATACAACTACGGATGTACATTTCTCCAACACTGAGCATATACTAGACTACAAAGCCTACGTCAACGAACTTCAATAACCTACTACCATCCAGGCCAAGTTTACCACCTAACTCCATCTCAGATTCTGCATCCCGGAGACTGAACTTGCAACCACCACACCAGAGGGGTAAAGGGTTTAAGTTTTTGTTTTTTCATTATCATTTTTAAAAGTGGTAAAATATCACATATGACAGCAAATATGACTAAACAATTAAAAACTTACCCACCCCCATAGTAAAGAGACCAGGAAATAAGTATTAAAAGAGAATGCATTTAATACCTTTTAAAAGTGGGGCAAATAGTAAAAAAAAAAAAAAAAATAGATACGTTAGCAGACAGTTTGGTTAACTGACCTAAATTCCATCTTCAACCTCTGATTTGCCAGCTTGAGTGGGTGACAAGAATCAGAGTTCTCCTGAGTGGGGCTTCTCAGGAATTTCTGTGCTTTTTCTGAAAAACAGGGAGAGATTTGGCCAGTAGGGTCCTTTACCCCTTTCCTTAGGCAACTGAGCCTGAAGTCTGAAGATGCATCACCCAACCTTGCAATCCTCAAGCAATCAGCATAAGAAAGCACCCCCAAAGGTTGGGGGAGCAGAAAACCTAGCAAAGAACCTAGTTTTTTAAACTGTGCCTGGCAGGATCCTGGAGACATCCCACCAACTCTAATCTACCTGCACAGAGTTGCTGTGATAAGCCCATGGCTTTTATGATACTTGCTGTCCAATCAATAGAGATAACATTAAAATAAGTTGTTAAAAGTTATGAACAGGGCCTCCCCGGTGGCGCAGTGGTTGGGCGCTGGGTTGCGAGGCTGCCTGCAGCCTCTGCAGTTCCTGTTCAATCCCTGGCCACCGGGCGAGGGTTCCACATGGCGCGCAGACCTCTCCTGCCGCCTGCTGCTCCCCTCAGCAGTGTACTTCCTCAGTCTGTCTGTTCTGTTCCCCGTTCTGGCTCTGGTGAGTTCTCACCCTCCTGCGCTTCTAACTGTACCCAGTGCTTGTATTAAAAAAAAAGTTATGAACAGAATGCACAGAGAAGGAATATTAGTTGATAAATATAATGGGGAAAATGTTTGACCTTAACTGTAATAAAAAAAAATTAAATTGTAATAACTGCATTACATTATAATCAGCCTATCATGAGTGCAATTAAAAAAGACATTTATAATTGAAGGGAATATTAACTAATATGCTTTTTCTGGCAAACAATTTGGTAATACATACATACAGAGGTTTACATTACTAGCCACTCACCTGATAACGCTATTTTAGAAAAATCATCCCATTGGAATAGTCCTAAACATTGAAAAATCCTGAACCTATATTCATTTAAAAGGGCAAAAAAAAAATTTAGGAAAAAAAAAAGTGACACCTTGACCAGGGTCCTACACTACCGTTTAGAATCCTATTTTAAAAAAAAAACTACACGTTCAATGTACATTAATGGGAAAAAGTAACAAAATTAAACATAAGAAATATAAATGAAAGCCATTCTATTCTAAATAACAATGAATGTTCTTTTATATTCTTCTTTTATATTCTACATAACAATGAATGTAGGTTGAAGGAATTTTTTTCATTTTCTAAATTTACTTAAGTATGAATTACTTTCACAGAAAAAAGATTTTAATGATTAAAATATTTCATATCTGGCAGTTTTAAATGGAGAATTACATCACATTGTGAGGTTTACTGAAGTTTAATACCAAAACTTGTCTTACAGTTCCCAAATTGGCAAATATATTTGACTTCAATAATAACAGTGGCAACAACAACATCAGTCTTAGACTCATCGTAAAGTTTAAGCAAAAAATAAAATGGATAGATACCTAATACCTAAAAGAAGCTCCATTTATGATAGAATATTTAGGATAGAAAGACAACTCACTGGCTTCACCCTATTCAATAATTTTCGTTACAGCTTCCAGGACAAGCAGGCATCTAAAGGAGTTGTTATAAGATACTTACATACTTCCTTTCATTTAGGACAGTCAGTACTTCTGCATTCTTCTTTGTAAAATAGTTCTCTTCCCAACTGACTGTTGTTGCTGTGGCCACAACCTTGCAAACATCTAACAAAAGGGGGTACCTGAACCTGGAGCCCCATGGGCTCCATGCTGCAAGGGGCATGATACGGAATAGGCTAACCTCACCCAGTTTTAAAACATTTTCTCCAATATCCAATACACTATTTTTTACATGCCACAGGTAGATGAAAATGTATTTTATGATCATCCTCAAACCCAAGTAGTTATAATGGCTCCTTAACTAACAAGAGGTTCATTAGAAGGCCCCTGAAACTTCTTTATGCTGAAACTATCCTTATATTTTTAGGGCTAGTATAATAAAAGAGCAGTGGAATGACAGCAACTAACTTCTGTAATTCTACAGGGAAAAATAAAGCCTGGGCTGTATTGTCTTCTTATTTAGTGCTCTGATTGCAGTAAGACACAAGCTCCCTAAGCACAAACCCTTTATTTTCCTTCCCTTGGGAATCCTACTCCTCTTCCCCCATGACCAAGGACATTCTAGGACACCCTGGGACCAGTGAAGCAAGCCCTCTCCTTTCCTCCCAGGAGACCACAGCCTAGTGGTTAAAGTAAACCCAGTGAATTAATTCCTCTAATACCAAAAGTGCTTACAGCAGATACTTGGTTCTAACTGTTTTCCTTCTCTGTCTGCCTTTGTCTTCTGGTAACCTCAGAAGAGGTTGCATTCAGAGAGGATGGCGCCTCCAAGGAAACACTCAGTTTTAAAGCAATGAAACTCAAATGGCTCAGTCTTTCAGATCCATGTCTGAGCAGTCTCCTCTTCCTCATGGAGCTATGTTGGCTCAGGCAAACCACTTCATCTTTCTAGAATTCAGTGACCATAAAATGTGGCCAGCAGCAGTAACTTCCTCCTGACTTACGATCATGAGGATTAAATGTGAGAGACTGTGAACTACCAAGCACAGCGCCTGGGGTTTACTATAGATAAATTCCTGGGAGGCAGCTATTATTTCTTTTCTACCACTCTCCGCACAAAGAAATTCTTCCATTCACGTGGAGCACGTTTCAGATGTTAAGTAATTTGAGGATTAAGGTATTCCTATTACTTTAGTCTTACAGAGGAGAGAGACCTGAGAAGGTGTAACTTGCTAAAGCCTCCAGGGCCAGCGCTTTACACAATTGAGATGAAAATTCAGGTCAGGTTTCCAGGCCGGGTAGCTCCACATTCAATGAGGAACTAGAGACATCTTCCCTAACTCTGATATATTTATAGCAGAGGCACTAGTACCAAGAAAATCAATTGACACAAGGCACACACGATGTGGACTTGATGAATGAGCTAGTGTCTAATTCACGGCTAAGCAAATGCTGCTGGGCCTCCCTGGTGGTGCAAGGGGTTAAGAGGCAACCTATGAAGCAATCTGCAGCCGCTGCAACACGAGATCGATGCCCAGCCAGGGAGCTACTCACATGGCGCAGCAGACCTCTCCTGTCTCGCCCCCTGCTCCCCTCAGCAGTGTATTTCAGTCAATCTGCCTGTTCTGCTCCCCACTCTGTCTCTGGTAAATCCTCTCCTCCCCCACACCTCTGGCCTGCACCCCAGCTCTTGTATGCACAAATAAATTTTTTTAAAAAATGCTGCCAAGCATTTCTGGGGGGTTGGGGGGGGGCGTCGAATAAGTATCAGTATTGTGTGCACTGCAGCTGCACGTTAAACAAAGGCACTGAATCCAAAAACCAGTTTCTTTCAGTGAGAAAGGGTGAAGGGATCCTCTAATGGGATGCAAGTGGCCCTTCCCGTTTCGGACAGTCACGCCTGCAGGTACTATTTTGCAAACCTACCGCAGGGCTTGACCCCAGGCTCAAGGCTTCAATCCCCAGGTCTCTGCACCCCCATCCTCAGTCTCCCCTCATCAAAATCTCCTGCCCTAAACCTGCCCTGCCCTGCCGTGGACAGCCCAGGCCCCCCAAGGGTTCCCCTCTCCCATCATTTCCAAGCCGCTCACACCGCCCAACGCCCGACGGCCTCAACGCCTGACCTCAACGTCCAGCGTCCAACGTCCGGCCCCCAACGACCGCAGCTCTGTCCCCCCAGGGCCCCCGGGGCTCCCCCTTGCGCCTGGTAACCCTGACCTGGAGAGAGACGAAAGGGCCGCTGACCCCCACGGGTCCCTGGAGCCTGGCCTTGGCGGCGCGCCCTGCCCGGAAGCCCGGCGTCGGGGGTGCTGCTGGGCCCAGGCCTCGCCCTCAATGCCAAGGGCAGGCCCACCCGCGCGCCTGCGCAGTTGGCGCCGCGCGCCCTGCTCGGTCACGTGGGCGCTCCTCGTGCTCCGGCCCTGACCCCTCCGGCCCCAGGGTGGGGAGGGCCGGAAGTTCCTGGTGGACACTTACTGTGGCTACAGCTCAGGAGTGGTCTGCAAAGGCGGCCCTGGGAACTCTGAGGGTGAATTTTGAACTTAAGAGCAGACCATTGTCTGCCCGCCAAGGTCACTTAGGTCATCTTAACCGCTCTGGGCTTAGAGGGTTACCCCAGAGAGAGCCCCTACTTCTGCCTGGTCCTGGAGACTGACCACAAAGATCACTTACTCCCCCTTCTCCTGACAGCGAGCTCGTGATTATATTTTGGTGTTACCCAAAGGAAAGATTCTTTTCACCTTAAAAGCAACAAAAATAACTGGTAGACGGGGCCTCCCCGGTGCTGCAAGGGGTTAAGAGGCAACCTGTGAAGCTGTCCACAGCCACTGCGGCCTGAGCTCCAGCCCCAGCCAGGGAGCTACCCACATGGCGCAGCAGACCTCTCCTGACTCGCCCGCTCCTTCCCTCAGCAGTGTGTTTCAGTCAGTTTGCCTGTTCTGTTCCTGACTCTGTCTCTGGATCCTCTCACCCCCACCACACCTCTGGCCTGTACCCCAGTTCTTGTATGTATAAATTAATAATTTAAGAACAAAACCCATAGAATTTTCAAGCAAATTAACAAGATAAACGGTTCTTATATGTACCCATCACCCAGTTTCAACATCAAAGATAATGATCTTATCTACATCTCTACTTATCCATTCTCCCCATTGTTTTGAAGCAAATCCCAGATCTGATCTTTTTTTTTTCTTTTGATAAATTTATAGAGTTGTTTTACAGCATAAATTGAGAAGACAGTATAGAAGTTTCCCAAGTAAGGCACACGTAGTTTCCACTTTTATTAACATAGAACATATCACAGCTTGTTATAATTAAGGAACCAATACTGATGCATGATTACCTAAAGTCTACCATTTTTAGATTTTCATTTATATTTTCTAGGTTTTATTTATTGTCCTTTTCTGAGCAGGGATCCCACAAGGACACCACATTATAGTTGTTGTGTTGTGTCTCCTGCAGCTCCTCTTGGCTGTGGCAATTTCTCCACTTTCCCTTGTCTTGATAAAGGACTGCTGGTGAGGCCATCTGTAGGATGTCCTAGTGTCAGAATTCACCTGATGTTTTGCTCAGAAGAAGCCTGGAGATAAGCATTATTAGAAGGAAGACAACCCAGGTAAAGTCATTTTCACTGCATCATCTTTCAAGTATACATTCTAGGAACATGATTAATGACAGCTGTTTTCTTCTATCACCTGACTAGGGTGGTGTTTGTTTATACTATGAAGTTCTGCTGTAACATTCTACTATAAAGTTGCTTTTCCCCCTCTCCCTTCTTGTACTATTCTCTTGGAATGAAGTCATTATATACAGTCTATACCTAAGTTATTTTGTTCTGCATTTATTCCATTGAATTCCATATAGTACTTTTCCACATCAGCTATTTGATTTGAGATTTAGTTTGTAATAAGAGAAATATGATGCTTTTTTAAAATCAATTTTCAGAGTATGATGATTCTGAGACAGGGCAAGCTAGGGTTATTAGGCAGTTTTAGGGATAGTGCAGGAGGGGACCTCTGAAAAATTTAGGGAGGCTTCAGAGATAAGGACAAGCAAGGGAAAGTAACCCATTCCATTAGGAAAAACAAACATGCCAGGACCAAGGACAACATTGTTAATGCTGGTCCTGGTTTCCTTCAGGTGGTAAAGGGAGGCGGAGATTGGAGAAATGGAGAGTGGTTTAATTTATGGTCACATTAGAAGGGCAGCTGTTTAACTTCAATGCAGGGATGCCCATCCAGAAGACTGGGCCATAAATTTAAAGATGCAACAAATGGGGAAAGAGAAAGCTGTTAGATAAGGAATGTGAAGATCCCCCACTCAGTAGCAAATTAAGTAAGACAGCCGAGAACTAACCAATCACAAAGAGACTGGTGAAGTTTTAGAATAATGAGGGAAAAAAGGTATATATTCCCTAAGACACGACTCTACTTTGGCTTCCTTGCCCCTCCCAGGCCTGGTTCCCTGGCCTGGGAGTCCCACTTTATTTCTGCTCTTTTTCTCCTCAATAAACTTTTTCTTCTAAACAAACCTGCCTCTTCTCGCTTGCTTGCCCGAGCGTCTGCGAAGTTCCTGCTGCGGCTTCGTGAGACACCAACCCGTGGGGGTCTAGCGGCTGGGGCTCAGCGCTGCCCTGCAGCCTGGAATCCGATCCTGGCTGGGAGACTAGGCCTGACAATTCCGGTATCAATTCCTTGGCATCCTCCAAAGGTGATCAATGTCATCTTTAAAAATCAATACACTCCTTGATTTTTAACATAGCAGACATGTCTCCATCAGTTACTGTTGTATTATTTTTGAATGCTAAATTTGTCCCTTCCTTTACCAGCGGGAGCAACTTTGATCTGACTCCTGATTCTTTTTGACACAATTCCTATTATCTTTACTTTCTGTTGAAATCAATGTGTCCGAGGCTCTCTTATGCATTTCCTGTACCACACTTAGAATCAGCCCTTACTCTCCAAAAGGAGCATAGATGACTTCTATGCTAAATTATATTTAGAGATCATAGTCTGGAGACTAGGGTCATGCATTGGGTAGGTCTTTGTTCTAGACCTCTTCAGTCTCCATTTTTGTAGTGGAGGAAAAAAAAGAACCATGAGTACATACAGGCATTTTTTAAATTCAAATTTAGGATTGGAGAATTTTCACTTAATTTTTTGATTTTGTTTCTCAAATTTGATTTTGATTTCCTTTCTCAAAGGCTGAAAATCTTGCCCCCCAAGCATACTTATATACTTTATACAAATGTAATGTATATCTCTCTTTTTCAGAAATAACAATACAAATGTCATTACTGATAATTTGACAATTGAAAAAACTTAAAGTTTCTTCAGTTTCTTTTCCCTTGGAATAATCTCACAGGAACTTTTGATCTATTTATCGCTGTAAAGTCAAATCATTGCTTTCCTAAGCCCCTTTAACAACAGAATGTGTTTTAATGTAGCTTTTTCTTGTAAGGGGAGAGGTGCCATTTCCTGTCGAAAAGGAAGAGGAAGAAAAACACAACGTTTTATTTATTTTTTAAATTTTATTTTTATATTCCCCATACAATTGCAATCCCCTCGTTTTATTTTTTTAAGTGACTTTTTTTGGTCAGCTGTATCAAAGAAACGAAACAGAATGGTATCTGACTTTACAAACTCTCATTGACCACTCCTTAGAATTAACTACTTTCACTCAAGAGTTGTGCATAAAACATCCTGAACCAAAGACCACACCCCACAAGACAGAGGACGCTTGCAAAACCTCCAGGTGTTGCAGAAATAAATTCTAGCCTTTTACCCAGGCAGGGGAAGAACAAGGCTACTTCAGGAACGGTGAGGTCAGGAGAAGCTTTATTACTCATGCATGAGGTCTCAGGCCTGGGTAGCCCCGTAAGGTCTGAGCACCAGTCTAGGGACAAAGGGTTTCTTTTTTACATAACCATCTTACATTGATAACATTGGTCAGTAAGCACAAAAGTTTGTGACAAAACACAGGTATTCCAGGATGCCCTGGGAGATCAACCAGCCTGGCCGGCTTCCTGACCTTGTTAAATTGTAACCTCGTTAAAGTAACCTCATCTAGATAGGCTTTAGAGAAGCAAAACTTGTTGTTTACATTTACTTTGCATTATTTACTGCACCAGACCTATGACTCTTTTAGCAGGAAACAGAAAAGATTTTATTTGCTTAGCGGTTCCCTGTCACAGGGACCAAATGTTCACTTTAATTCACCGCCACCGATTAGGTGACTCAATTCGAGATACTTTTTGTTGCTAAATCATGGAGCAGCTTCTTCGCATCAAACCCCACACTGGGTGCTGCGCTATCCAGAGGTCACTCCTGCGCTGGAGGCTCGAGGCGCTCACCCTTGGGTGCCCCAGACCAACGCGCCAACCGTCCATTATTAAACAATGCTTTGTGCTGTGGACACGAGCGTGGTGTTATGGAAACCCCCAGAGTCGGTCCCAGGGCAGCCGGCGGGTAGGCTGCGCCTGCCGGCCCCGCCCGCGTCAGGTGCCAGGTTCGCGTCTCTGAGTTGGGAAGTCACGGCTGGGAATTCTCTGGTTGCTCCTGCCCTGACTAATACAGGAAGAGCCAGGGGCTGGGGAGGAGCTAGATGCAGGGAGCGCGCCCCATAGGAATAACCTGCCTGGGGTGGGGGGTGCGGGAGGCGGGGCAGGACGAGCTGCAGGGGGCGGGCGGGCCGGAGCAGCCCGGCAAGGGGTCGCTGGCCGCCCCGGCCCTGGCAAGAAGGGGGGGATGTCCCCGGCCGGGGGGCGCGCGGCGCGGCCCCGCCCACTGCAGACAGGTTAGTCTGGGCGCCAGGTGCGCGCGTCATGTGCCCGCGCCGCGCGGATTGGCTCCTCCCGGGAGCCCCGCCCCCTCAGCTGTAGCCGGGCCGGCTTCGGCGTCGCCGCCATCTTTGTTGATGTGTCAGCTCCGCGGGGGTTTGGGGGAGCCGCGGCGGGGGGAGCGCGGGGTCGGCCCTGTTTCCCACCGCTGTCCCTGCCCGTCGTCCGGCCTGTTGTGCTCCGTTATGGAGAAGTTGGTTCCTGAGCTGGCGCTCCAGCGGCCTCGTTAGGGGTGCGGCCTGAGGCTCCGAGAAGTGGGGTGAGTGTCCGAGGGGCGTCCGGGGCAATCGGGGAGTCGCGGTGCGGCGCGGCTGGACTGCCCACCACCCCAGCCGTCCTGCGGGTCCCGCGGTGGGGGTGAGCCGGTCCCCGCCTGGCTCGGGGGGTGACGGAGACGAGCGCTGGGGTGAGGGGCGCAGAGTTTGGAATCCCCTTTTCGCCCTGCTTCTTTCTTTCCGTCCCGGGTCGCTGGGGGGCGGGGGGAGGCGGCAGAGAGGGGTCGAGGGGGGTCGTTGGGGGCCCCTCTTCCAGAGAGGCGCAATTTGGGGCCTCTGCCGGTCCAGTAAGAAGGGGCAGCTGAGCCCCACCTGCTCTGTGATCTTTCATAGACTCAGTCGCCTGTTTCTCTTCCCATCTCCAAGTTGACTGCGGTGTGTTTCATGTTTGCTGTTGGGGCCACTTTTTACCCTCCCCCAAACGGGGCCGTGACAGTGATTTTAAGTAACTTGGAGATGATTCCTTGGGATTGTAGATGTGAGAGCTACTACTCTTGGTTTTTATGTTACCTTTCTTCCAAGGACACCAAGGCATTTGATAATCCTTGGCTGCTGAGAATGGTACTTCAAATTTCTGTCTCTATCAAGCGAGTGAAATAGTAAATCCCCTTCTACCTGTCCCCTGCCATCAGTCCTGGAGAACAGTGCAGGTGTAATTATTTCTCAACTGCTAATAATGAGTAATTCAGCTAATATTCACATCTTGATTTTGTTAAGAGGAAAGAGGCCTGGATTTTGATTCGGAACATGTGGGCTTAGAATCGGCCTATTTCACTTCATTGTCTTGTTATCTATGGGAATTACAAAGTATAGCAAAGACAGTTCAGCCCCACACAGTTGGCAGTGTTGTGTGTGTGTGTGTGTGTGTGTGTGTTGGGGACTTGGGGTTGGTCTCTTGAGGCCCGGTTGTATTTTTATTTCTTCCAGAATGATAGTCTGGAAGTTTTCCTAAGGAAAATGTACAGTTGATCAGTAGAACAGTGTTGAAGTGTAGTAGTAGCCATTAAAAAACAAAACAAAACCCAGAAACCTATTGTGGGTGAAGTCTTCCTAACTACATCTTTATGTTTGTGGAGTCTTAATCTCATGGGAAAGATAAGAAATACTGATAGTGAAACTGAACTATCTCCTGTGTATAAAATATACTGTTTCCTGTAGAGCTGCAATTCTTTCATCATTACACAAATAGAAAACAGTGATGATTGGTATATTTCTTTTTTTTCTTTTCTTTTTCGTCTTTTCATGTTATTTTAAATTCAGTGAAGGTATTAAATGACTCACAAATTTTGCAGTACTAAGAAGGAAACTGCTGCTTCGTAGTAGGCAAGTATGTATAATTACTAAAGAATTTACCCGAAAATACCTGGCTTGTGTATAAATTGGTTTTATTCTTTTTAAGGTGTGTGTAGTCAGTTTCTTGCATATAAATTTTGAGGTTTCTTTAAACAGTGCAGATTCCATACAGTGTCAAAGGTATTTCAGAGTCTTATTCATTGCTAACTCTAGGAGTAGTATAGCACAGCAACTACTATTTAACCTTTTGTTCCTTCACACATAAATTCAAGAGTTGTCTTTTGATGCTGTACAATGACAGCATGACTGATGATGACTGCTTCGTACATTCAGTTTAAAAACATCCATTTACAGCCACCTGTGGATTTTATGGAGTGAAGGTAAAGCAGTGTAGTTGATTGTTCAGAGAGAGATGATATGCTGAAGCAGCCTTGTTAGAGGTTTAATAGTCATCTTTCCCTTTGAGGAATGTTTAGAAATCTGCACTAGTTTTCCAAGTTCACCTAACAGTTTCGTGTTAAGGCAAGAATCCGTAACATGCAGTTCTGGGTTTGTTTTTTTGTTGGTTTCTTTCAAAAAATATTTAGGCTTTTCTTCTCTTTTCTTTTTTTTTTTTTTTTCAGGTTTTTCTTTTATCTTCTATCTGTAACTTCAAATAACAGTCAGTTCTTGAAGTTCTCATCAACATGTCACTATGCTTATAAGATCGAGAACACATTATTTAGTATTCATTTCAGGATAACAGCGGGAGCATACATAATTTAAATTGACAAATTACTCTTTATTATTTCAAAATTCTCAACTTTTTTTTCTCAGCTACTGAGATTTTAAAAGTCTGCTGGGGCTGAGAAGTAAACAAAAGCAAATATTTGGGTGAAGGGGCAATAGACACAAAAGTAGAAATCAAATTCAGAAAAGTATTGTTTGAAGTGCTCATAGATAATATTCTTTCTTTCTCTCTCTCTCTCTTTTTTTTTTTTTTTTTTTGGTAAACTACATTGTACCAAGGTCAGGGCAAAAGACGGTCTCAGTTTTAAACAGAATTAAATAGAATTCCTTAATCTTAATATAGAAAAATCCACTTCTTTGTTGTTACTAAGCTTCCATTTTGAAAAGGGAACTACAGAACAAATATTCACCTTCTTTAGTTTTTGATATGGAAAAGAAGATAGCTGAAAATACTTTCCAATTTTCTTAGATTCACTAAGTAGTGAGATATAATACTTCAACATTTATAACTTTGTGCTTTAAACCTTTAAAAAGTTATTAGAGGTATATACAATTGCAAGGATCTGAGGTAGCAGGCTTATCATGTGACAGTTAACTTAAAAATGTGATATATGATGTGGCTGCTTAACTTTTATTTTTCCCTCGAAACCTGATGGGCCATATCTTGTTTACCTGACAGAGGGTGTAGAGGTTTGGGAGGGATCCTGCTAGCATGTATTGGCCCTGAGCCTTCTTAACATAGTCTTGGTGTCTGATACAATGTGCCTATCATAAAACTCATTCTGCCTTGAGTTTTAGGTGCAAAGTTAAACAAACACCCTTAGGAATAAACTTGACCTTGGCTTCATAGAACATACTCTCTAACTGGTGGACTGAAAGCGTCATAAAATCTAATGATATGGAAGCCCAATATGTTAAAGTTAAATTTTATGCAAAAAATTTAGAATGTGACTACCTTAAAAATCACTTCTTCCTTTTGATAGAACTAATCTGAAGTCCTTTGAAATAGCTCAGTAATTTTTTTAAAAAGATTTATTTTTATTTTATTTATGCATACCAGAGCCAGGGTGTAGGGCAGAGGTGCTGGGAGGATTCACCAAAGACAGAGTGGGGAGCAGAACAGGCAGATCTACTAACATACACTGCTAAGGGCAGTGGGTAAGACAGGAGAGGTCTGCTGCGCCATGTGGGTCAGCTCCCTGTCTGGGGATGGAGCTCAGGCCGCAGTGGCTGGAGATAGCTTGATTGCACTGAGACTTGAACCTCTGTACCAGGAGGGAGGCCCCCTTTTTTTTTTTTTAAAGTAGAATTTGACTTGCATAAATTTACCTTATGTGAAACTTTACTGTCAAGATACTTTAACCCAATAGAACAAGATTTTCATGTTTCTTAGAAGGATTTTTTTCTATTCCATTTTATTCTATATTTTAAAAACTATTCAGGAACATATTTGTATTTTGAAGTTAATATTTACCAAAGAATTAGGTACTTGTGATCAGGTTATATTGGACTGTGGATGCTTTTTTGACTTAACTGCTTCTGACTTTAATTGCCTATTGGAACTAGTCAGAAAGATAAGTTATACTTTTGTTTATGCTGCTTTCAAAGTGTATTTGGGGAATATGTAAAAAAAAAAAAAAAGCCCTTTGATGTACTTATTTTTCTTTCAGAGGACAGTGTAAACCATTATGTTGAAGGTCAGAAATGTTCTCAGCCACAAACTGCCTATATTAATGAACGTTATTTGAGAAATACATCTGGTATTCCTTGAGACTTAAAGGGTAAAGTTTGTAATTTTAAAATGTGTACTCAAATAATATTTATATTGAACTAAGATTTTTTTTATTGGATTTAAAACACTCACAAATAATTATAATTTCTGATGGAATACTGACAGATCTTCAGATTGAATACGAATAATAAATGATTTAATGTGGAGCTTTTACATATTTGTCTACTACCCTGAATGTAATCTCTGTAAGGGATGTCTGTGTTGTTTGTTCACTGCCATAGTCCCAACATGTAGTGCAGAGCATGAGAACGACACATGTTCAATATGTATTTGGTGAATGAATTAATATCTAGTGTGGAAATATACTTCTGACTTGGTACTTTTGTATGAGATTTATTTGATAACTTCTTACCAAATATATGGGGGTTGGATTGGTTTGTGTTTGGTTGAATAAACTTGAGTTTCTGTTGTTTAATTGTTGGGAAAACTAGAAACAGTACTTAGTGGTTTTTTTATATGGCTCTTGTAAAGTAGTTTTGTAGAATTGTGAGCTCTTTCATTAATAAAGTCCAAGGTGGATAATGGCGTAAGGCAAATAAATGTTTCTTGACTGGTTGCCTACAGCTGATGAGCTCCAGTAAGAGCGAAACCAGTTCTCACTCCACTGAAACAACTTTTGAAGTGTGAATTGGTCCTGTAGTACTGTGTCAGAAACGAAAAAAACTCTGGGAAAAGAAAGTGCTTGAATTAAGAGAAATTTTGTGGCAGTGTTATGTTTTAAAGACAGTATTTCCCTCTAATGAGTAAGAGATGCTAAAAAGTTAAATAGCCTGTTGTTTTGAATCGCAGAACAACCGATAGCTTTTCGTACCTTGAGTGTGATCATTATGCGTGTAAATTTGAGTTTGGCAAACCCTTCTTAACTAAAACAGTTTTATGAGCAAATGTTCAGTTTTACATCCTTCTCTTACCTACCCCTAGGCTATTACATCTTGAGTAGTTTGGGTGAACCCCTGTTAATCATGGACATAACCCAAGTTCATCTGCCTCCTCCCTCCCCCCATTCTTGTGTAACACATTAATTTTTGGTGACATATATCAATTATTATAGTTGTAGCTTGAGAATTTTGAAGTTTGGTCAGGTTAAAAATGAGTTTTTTTCCCTCTCCATGTAAGTGTAGAGATCATTTAAAAGGCTGAAGACTGTGTATTCAGAAATGTCACAAGGAAGGCAGTGTCTGTGTGCTTGATGAGTATGAATGAAGTATGTTTTTATTTACATGGAAGATTATTTGTGTATTTACTATTAGGAAAAATTTGGAGGGTGATGGGAGAGTTGATAAGTAGGCTCCAGATAGACTGAACGGAAGGAAATTCTAGGTGACAGCAAAACCATGAAATGTTAATGTGCAAGTTGGAGGAATCTTGACTAGACTGGTCATAACTGGTAAAGAGAAATACTGGAATTTTTGGAATGTGTTGGGAGATAATATTGGAAAAATAGTACAACTGGTTTATTGAGGAATCACGACTCTAGGGTATAAACATAAAATGGTTTCATTTTTCTCTTAATGGATCTCCAGTCATACTGTGTGAATGCCCTCTATCATCTCTACTTCCTTCTGAAGTACAGTCCCTTAATAATGTTTTGGTTTGATGTTGTAACTTTTCTGCCACTTTTGATTGTTAGTGAAAATTTACTCCAGAAATTAAGTCAGGTTTCAATCATTTAGACAACAAAAATAAAGCTACACAAATGTTAATCACAGTAGACAGTTTGGACCTGTTCTCAGCTGTTTGGTTTGAATAAGAGGTGGGATCTGGCTCTAAAGTGTGTGTTCCTTCTTTTTGGTCTAGCTAGTCCATTTGGAGTTAGGGAAAGAAGACAGCAGTGGTGGCAGAGTTGCATTATCTGAACCTTTAAAGAAAGAAGAAATAGCCCTAACCTCACTCTGGATTCTGTGGTTGGATCGGATTGTGGTTTGTGTGGAAAATTTAAGGGCAGTGCATAGCTCCCTGGTCCCCTCTGTCATTGAGGACCATTTTGTAACCAAACTCAATTAGTTCATTCTCTTGGCGAGTATCTGGGCTGAATAAAAGACACTGGCAAGATGGAGTGTACAAAGGATAAGTATTTCTTTTCTTTTCTTTTTTTTTTTTTTTTAAAGATTTATTTATTTATTTATACAAGCTCTGGGGTACAGTCAGAAGCGCGGGAGGGTGAGAGAGAATTCACCAGAGCCAGAGTGGAGAGCAGTACAGGCAGACTGACGAAGTACACTGATGAGGAGAGCAGCGGGCAGCAGGAGAGGTCTGCGCGCCATGTGGGACCCTGGCCCAGCGGCCGCTGGGGATTGAACCGGCGCTGCAGAGGCTGCGGGCAGCTTCGCAACCCAGCGCCACTGGGGAGGCCCGACAAGTATTTATTTTCTTGTGATGAGAAAAGACAACAGTGAAACTAGCATTTCCAAGGAATCTCTCAGAGAGAGAACAGTTTGGTAAAATGACCATGTATTGTTTAGTATGGGAGAGGGTCTTAAGGAACGTCTCTGTTCCTGGTGCTGGCATCTTCTGGTCCTTATCTTCAGCCAGGAGGTCTGTGTAAAAACATACGTTCAGGAAATGTTTTACATATCCGATTCTTATTAAATTTTATTTATGGTCAAGAAGCTTGTGTACAGGTGACCTTTGCCTGGAGGCCTGGGCCAACAGAGAATATTTAGCTTACTGCCACGCTCTCTCAACTTCATAAGGCAGTTCCTGTTCCTCTTTGGCAGAGACAATGTATTACACACTTCAGCTCCTTCTCTGGGTTGGGTGACACCTAGCCCCGGTGCTGTCTCAAGTCACCCACCCTTCCATTCACCTCTTTGCTCCTTCCTTCACTTGGAGTTGCACAAAGAAGAGCAAGTAGGAGGAATGGTGTGAGATTGAGAAACCAGCAATTCAAGATTCCAGGTATAAAATGATCTGGCCTGCGTTGGGTTGCAGACAGGGAATAGTGTCAGTAGAAAAGAGGGTGTCATGGAGGGAGACATGAAATCGGTAAAAGAATATGAGGACAAAGGAAAGGAAGGAGTTATGATACCAGTGATAGACAAAAGATTACCTGGGCTAGTCAATTGTAGAAACTAATTATGACTTTGAGTGTAGCCATTTTGAATTTGAGGTCATGTTGGGACATCCATGGGAAATGCTTATTATTCAGGTGGAGATTTTAATACAGATATGTAGAGTATAGCTGAAGAGATAGCTAATTCACCTGCAACTCGAGCTCAGGAATGAATTAATGTGGACATCAGGCTGTGGATTGTTCAAGTTATCAAAGTGGATGAATTCTAGGAGAGAAAATAAAGTTGAGGACTGAACCCTGGGGATATGAAAGGTGGATGAGAGACTAACCAGTATTTATTTAGTGCTTTTCTCTTGACAAAGCATGGCACACATGACAAAGCCATAATCCCCAATGATAAGGTTTCTTCTCAGTTGCTTTATGCTGGAGAGTCAAGGTGCTTTTATAATCTCACTCTCTTTCAAATAGATTCTTTATCTGCTATGCATTGTATTTTGGGCAGGTCTGAGTTCAGTTGATACAGTACTCACTAGTTATGATGATGATGTTTAAAACCACCCTCTTCATTAGTTTTTAGATTAATTTCTAAATTGAGATTTCAAATCCTGTGTCAACTCATTCACAGTTTATATCTTTTTTTAAAAAAAGATTTATTTATTTATGCATGCAAGAACTGAGGTATAGGCCAGAGGTGTGGGGGGTGAGAGCATTCACCAGAGACAGAGTGGGGAATAGAACAGGCAGACTGACTGAAATACACTGCTGAGGGGAGCAGCGGGCGAGTCAGGAGAGGTCTGCTGTGCCATGTGGCTTCCTGCCAAGGACGGGGATCGAACTCCTGCTGCAGAGACAGCGGATGGCTTCATAGTGCTGTACTTTATAAACCCTTGCGCCACCAGGGAGGCCCTCACAATTTATATCTTAAGTGAGCTACTATGGGAAAGGTAATGTGGGTGGCTAATGTCCCTGTTTAAGAATTGCTTGATTTTGTCCAATATTTTGGATTTATGAGACCTTTTATTGACTTCATTTATTTATATTATCTTAAACCAAACCTTAATGCTTGTGTGGGCTTTATCTTAGTTGTACCATATATGTAGTAGGTTGATAATGGTCATTTCTGTTAGTATATATTATAGAGATAGGTAGTAAAGTATTAAGGCCATTGTCTATTTTAGTTGATGCCCCAGAGGACAGTCTAAGATAAAAGACATGGTATTTAGCAAACTGATCTTTTACCTTGTAAAAGTTATTCTTCACATTTTCTGCATATTTATAGTAATGTTCCTTAAATACTAGTTTTATCCTCATGCTTCTATGCTTTAATTGAATAAATACTTGAGGATCTACTAATGCTAGAAACTATATATGATCATATGATAATATGATCGTGATTTATTGTCTTTCTTACTGAAATTCACTTCTACATGTCATTCTGAGGACTCTATTATCTTCCTTTACCCTTTTTTATCATCCTTGGACAACCGCCTCCGTCACAGATGAACTTACCGATCTTTCTGCTATTTAAAAATGTAATCTTTGTTTTGTTTTCCATAAGTACACCTTCCTTCAGAATTACTTCTTTCGTGTAGTTTCTGTCAAAACTATAATCTCTACTTTTTTAGCCAGCTTCATCTACCTGTAAACATGCTTTGTTGATATGTTACAAGAGGTGACTCTTTTAAAAATCAAGATCATTGAGATATTTATTATTATATTTTTCTGTCTCAGGATAATTTTTGAAGTTCTCTAATTTTCAGAAAATTACTAGGATAAAAACCCTCATAAATAGAATAAAATATATTCTAATGTTATTGACTTAGTTTTATAAATGTTGCTATTAGGAACTAGGCAATGCATATGAGCTCCACTTGAGTTGCACTGCACATTATTTATTCTTGATAAGAGTGTTTGGAAATCACCATGATACTTCCTGGATGCCTGCCTGAATGAAAAACAATTCCTCCCTGGGCTTCCTTCTGCCTCTTTCACCTCAGCTCTAGGTGTCTGATTTGCACAGGTAGCTGTGTTTTGTTACTGTTTAATTTTACTTCTTTGGAAATTTTTGTCATTGTTAATGTGCATTGCTTTATTTTCTTAGTTTGTTGCTTCTCCCCAGTGTGTTCATTTCTGTCTTATTTTCCTGATATTTTATTACAGATCCTTGAGATGCCCTTTTTGCCCTTCTGTAGCTGAAGGAATTCTAAATAATCCTTTAGCAATAATCTTCAGGTTAACTAGTAGTATCCCTTACCTGACACCAAACGGGTTGACTGGGGAATGCCAAATCACAACTGAAATGAGAGAAATGAACGAGTGAATTTTTATGGCCGAATTAAAGGAGGAAAGAGGAGACTTTGTAGTACCCTGTTGATTGTCACACACTTGGACTGATCAGTTTTTTTTTTTCTGTCCTCCCAGAATGGCTTTTAAACGAATGGTTTATGGTAAAATGGTGGCCGTAGTTATTCCACATCTTATGAGGTCATGGTTATTAAAAGCTTTTGGTTTTTGTTAAATTTTAATGTTTTGACTTTCATAGATGTAAAACGAAGATCAGGAACAGATTTGAAGAAATGCAGAGTGAATTAGTGCCTGTCACCATGTCAGAGACAGAGCACGTAGCATCCATTTCCTCAGATAAAGATGCTGAGAAAACATCTGAATTAAAGGAAGACTCTTGCACCTCGTTTTCTGGTGATGAAAGCAGCAGTTTAGGAAATGAGTCCAAACTATTGTCATTAAACTTTGATAAAGCTTTATGTCAGCCTGCAGAACACAGTCATCAGATTGAAGCACAGGAAAATTATATTCCAGGTCATGGCGGAGGTGAGGCTTCTTATCCTAAAACAGACATATGCCCAGAAAATTCTGAACAAATAGCTAATTTTCCTGGTGAAGATTCTTCAAAGCAAGTTTCCAAAGCAGATGAAACAGAACAGACAGTAACACAAATATTGGAGGGATTAAGATCATCTACATTTTCAGAAGCATCTAATCAAAAGACTTATTCAGACAACCCCTATGATACAGACTGCACCAAGAAACTTATTTCAAAAATAAAGAATGCTTCAGCATCAGAGGATTTGTTGGAAGAAATAGAATCTGAGCTCTTATCTGCAGAGTGCGTAAAACAACACCGAGCACCAAATGGAATGAATAAGGGAGAACATGCATTAGTTATGTTTGAAAAATGTGTGCAAGATAAGTATTTGCAGCAGGAGCACACTATAAAGAAGTAAGTTTTTAATTCTTTCAGATTATTTTTTCCACAGGGATTAGATTTCGTTCTTTTAAGATTCGGTATCATCTTGTCCACTTTTAATTCCACAGTAGAGCCATGCACATAGTAATTGATCAACAAGTATGTATTTACTGAATAATTGAGCAAATATCAAGCATGTTATTCAGTATGAAATCTAAAGGAATATTTCATTAAATAATGTAAATTCTTGGCGCGCAGCCCTCTCCTGCCGCCCGCTGCTCCCCTCAGCAGTGTACTTCAGTCCTTCTGCCTGCTCTGCTCCCCGATCTGGCTCTGGTGAATTCTCTCACCCTCCCGCGCTTCTGACTGTACCCAGTGCATGTATAAACAAAAAAACAAACAAATAAATAAATAATAAAACATGCCTCTATTAAAAAAAAAAATAATGTAAATTCTTAAAGATTAGGAGATTTTTATAAAGACAACTCAGATTTTTCACTTAAAAGACGGCAGAGCATAATCCTGTCAAAACTGATAAAGATTCCAAATGAAGTAGGAAAACAAAATTTTTTTAAAATCCTTGTAAATTCCTTGGCTTAAAAAATTACAATATATAGAAAAGAATTGATTGGTTATCATTCAGTAAATAACAACATAATTATTCTTAGACTTATTGGATTTGTGGTATTAATTTCTAGTTTAACAATACAGTTTAGTTTCTTTTTCTAACAGCATTTTTATTCTAGATTTATTGATGTGATATATATTTTACACACACACACACACACACACACACACACACACACACACCCCAAATATATAAACCTAAATAGGCACTCATAACCTTTAAGAAAGGCAAGTAAAACATGCTAGACTGCACTAAAACACAGACTGGTTCTCTTCTTTTTTAAATGATACTGTAAAAAAAATTTGGTATGGGAGGAAGGGGAGGAGGAAATCTGCATCCCAGGAGGATGACAGAAGAAAACATCATAATCCAGACGTTGCTGAGTATGTAATTTGGTTTGAATGATCTCGTTGCTGCTTCTAGTCTTTATTCTGCCAGAGTGTCTTACTCAGTGACTCGGTCTTCCCCAAGCCAACTCACCCTTCATTGGTTTGTACAGTGAACTTGAATCTCTTAATAATATCCAAGGCCCTTCTTTTCAATTTTTTTTTTCATTTTATGTGTTAGAAAATACATATAACATAAAATTGACCATCTTTTCTGATTTTAAGTGTATAGTTTGATAGTGTCAAGTATATTTGCATTGCTCTGTAACCAGGCCCCATTACGTTTTCATCTGGCAAATCTGAAGCTCTGCTCCCAGCCGCTGGCAACCGCTATTCTACTTTCTAAGAGTTAGGTTACTCTTGACATCACTTATAAATGAAATCAAGCAGCATTTGTCTTTTTGTGGTTGGCTGATTTCACTTAGATGTTCTAAGATGAATATTATCCTGTAGCATGTGTATCCCACAATTTATTTGTTCATCTATCGGTGGACATTTGGGTTGCTTCCACCTATTGACTATTGTGGGTAATGCTGTCATGTTGTGAATATGACAGTACCAGTATCTCCTGAGACTCTAAGGTCCTGATTTATGCCACCCCAAAACTGACATGTGCTGCTCCTACTCATATCCTTCCTAGAATACTGCTGTTAAATGAATAAACATACTTGAATGAACAACATTTCTATTCTTACTTTTTAGGGTGATTTCCTCATTTTCCATCTGTATGTATCTATCTTTTAAACCTGTCCCTTGAGATTATTTATCTTCTTTCCCCATTTTCCTTAGAATGGTGTTAATTATGTGCCTGGCACTTTACATATGTTAACACATGGAGTCCTCACAGCAACTTGATGTAGTGTGGACTGTTATTTTCCTTTTACAAACAAGATAACTGAAGCACAGAGAGGTTAGTTTAGGGTCACATACTAGTAAATGTCACATGCTAGTGAATATGAAATCTAGTTTTTAGTCCCACAATTTTTAAAATGTGGTTATTTGAAATGAACTAGTTACAAGTGTTAAATGTATCTTAAAATATTAGGAATACAGTGGAAAATGAATTCCTCTTTTTTCCTCTGCCCTGTCAGAAGTCAGTGGCAGCATGGTAGAGTTGGATGTGTGCTGGTCGGAAGCTTGGCATTGGAAGACTCCCACTGCTATTTGTAAACTATTTTGTTGGCCAAACGACCAACAAAAGATTTTTGAGTCAAAGATTTTTCATCTGTATTCAGGGAAACAAAACTGATACTATTTTGTGGAGATTAAGGCCTTATAAAATGTCAAATAGTACATTTAAAATCTATAGTCTTTTGTTATGCTTATAATGTTTTGTGACTCAGGCTAACTCTAAAACAACTAATTTTATTTTCTTCCGCCATCACTGAATTTTCTATAAAGACAAGTACCTTTCAAGTCTTTTGGCTTAAATTTTCATGAATGCATCTCTTTCCAGATGTCCTTGTTTATACTTTTTAACATCAATTTCATTGTCTAAGGTCCCAAAGAATTCTTCTTCTCGCTCTTTTTTTTTTTTAAAGTATCAGGAAGAATTCTTCCGAAGAACAGTAATGTGTATACATGATGTGCATTTGACATAATAGCAGTTTGAGAGCTTGCTGCTCTTCACTTCTTCCTCTTTAAATTGTCTTGTGTTTCAAGTAGTTTTGTGCAACAAATTGAGTGTACACCTTAATCATATAAATAATCTCAGGTCAAAAATGCTGGGCCAAAAAGGCTTGAATAAGCTTGCATTCTGTAATTTTTTCTTCCCCAAACACTGCAAGACTTGCTTCCTCAGGGCATTCCTGTGTGCCTCCAAGAGGCCTTCCCTGACTCCCATATCTAAAATCACCGCTCCTGACACTCTCTCTGTCTTCTTGCCTTCCTTTCTTTTCCTTAATAGGACATGGTCACTGCTGACATTCTATTATTTGTTTATTTTCATTTTCTCCCATGGAATGTAAGCTGCAGGAGGTCTGTGACAGTTTTCTGATGTATTCTCAATTTCTAGAACAGTATTGGTATAATAGGTACCCAGTAAGCATCTGTTGAGTGAAAGAAGTGGAAAGGTATGGGCTATGGACTAAGACTTGGTTCCAAATCTTTCTTACTAACTGTGTGACCTGGAGCAAATTCTAAGCTTCAGGTTTGTTTTGTGGTTGTTTTTACTTAGTTCAGAAGACATGAGTTCACAGGCCTCCTAATTTCATAGACTTGAATATTAAATAATGCACTTAAAACTAAGTAAAAGCTATATTAAGTAAATAGTAGTTGTGCAATCAATGTTAAGTAATAGCTGTTGTGATTAATAGTCCTAAAATATTAGCTGTAGCCTTACTAGGTATCTTTTTTTATAATTCTGAGCACTTTACAGATAATTGTAAACGTTTTATTTTTTTCTAGGGGGTCAGTGAAATTTCTGTTACACTTTTGTTATTTTATATTGACTAGTCCTGTCTACGAGTATATACTAGCTACGAGAATATTATTAAACTAGTAAAAGCTAAAGCAAAATTTCTCAACCTCAGCACTGTTGACATTTGGGGGCAGATTATTATTGTTGGTTGGGCTTTCCTTTTCTTAGTAGAATGGTCAGCAGTTTCTCTGGCCTTCATCCACAAGAAGCCAGTATTAATCCCTGCCCTTTGTGGCCCCCCAAAATGTCTCCAGATAATTGCTTGAAAAGCAAAATGGCTCCTACTTGAGAACCGCTGGTCTGTATGGGTTCAAGTGCTGAAGGAAGGAAGAGATGCCCAAGGTCATCTTCATTTGTCTGGTTATATATTACTTTGAGCCAGGAAAAGTTGATAGGCCAGAGAATGTTTTGTAAAGTATCTATAATGTGTCATTGCAACAGGATTATTTAGCAGTGTTCATTTATTAACCAAAAATATCTGCAGCCTAACCTGCAAACAGGTTATATTCCACATACTCGTTTTTAATTATGTTTTACTTATACTTCCCTTTTTATATTTAGGTTAATTAAAGAAAATAAGAAGCATCAGGAACTCATCTTAGATATTTGTTCAGAAAAAGACAATTTAAGAGAAGAACTCAAAAAAAGAACAGAAACAGAAAAGCAGCATATGAATACAATTAAACAGGTAATAAGAGAAAACAAAAATCTTTAAAAACTACTTCAGTTTATAGAATAAATGCATTTCTGAAAATTTGTGTAGAAATTGAAGTTCTTTCAGTTAAATCTAAATTTATTTTAAATGCAGGGGATTGCAGGGTATGAAAAGCATTCTCTTATGAATTGGGACTCGTAACTTGTTATTTTATATAAATTTATATTTTTTAATGATGTTTGTCACTTCTATATAGAAATAGAAATCTGAAAAAGAATTGATTTGACAATCAAACACTGTTTTTTCCAGTTAGGGAAGAAACAATATGTACCTTGAAGTTTATTTCGGGCATTAAAATATTTTTAAGTTACAGTTTAATATGGTTGCATTCTCAGAATATTTGTGAACTACACTATAAAAACTGATACTTGTTCTTCTCCTGCCCTCTCTCTCCCTCCTCTCCTTTCCTTTTCCTTTTTCCCCCTGTGCCTTCCCTTCTCTCCTCCACTTCCATTTTTTCCTGTCTTTTTTTTAAGTTAACAAATACTGAATATTTGGACTTGTAGCAAAGCAGAACTGCTCTTTTTCTGAGCTGCTTTTTCTTTGAATTGGATTAGAATCTTTCTAGCCTTAAAAAACCTTTCTTTTGGTCTCATCTTTTAGAAAGCTATATAATGAGAATAGTAAATATTTGGTAAAACTATAATTGAAATAGTAAAATAAGTTTCACTTGCTTATACTTGGTGCACCATTACTTAGTGGAAGGTAACTGTATTAGTAAATATTACGTATGTAATTTTTATGTGCTCTAGGACCATTATGTGTAAACCAAACTTAGAATTTTTTAAAGTATGATGGAGCCTTAATGATGGGCTGAATTTTGCATGCAGGTCGCTGTTGATGACCAGAAACTTTAAACTGAATAAGATGGGAGGGAACCAGAACTGTTCCTTTCTTGAGTATGTTAGTCACTGTGCCTTTTTTAAAAAGGAAATTGGATTTATATTTTATTGGCAAGTCTAGGAGGATTTTAACTTACATCCAGACCTGTACCATTCAGTATGGCAGCCACTAGCCACATACAACTACTGAGTACTTAAAAGGTGGCTATTCCAAATTAATGATACTGTAAATCTAATGTAAAAACTTCTTTAAAAAAATCCACAAACATTTAAAACTTTATAATTTTGTGGAAAGGTTTTAATTTATTCTACCTAAAGAATATAGTATGTAATGTCTTGATAATTACATAAAAATACTTTTTATTGACCAAAAAAAATCCTAAAATACATGCTTAATTTTTTTTTTATTTATTTATGATTTATTTATTTGTTTGTTTGTTTGTTTTGTTTATACATGCACTGGGTACAGTCAGAAGCGCGGGAGGGTGAGAGAATTCACCAGAGCCAGAGCGGGGAGCAGAGCAGGCAGAAGGACCAAAATACACTGCTGAGGGGAGCAGCGGGCGGCAGGAGAGGTCTGCGCGCCATGTGGGACCCTCCTCTGGTGGCCGGGGAGCAGCCGGGAATCAAACCGGCACCGCAGAGGCTGCGGGCAGCTTTGCAACCCAGCGCTCAACTGCTGCGCCACCGGGGAGGCCCTACATGCTTAATTTTGAGGAATTAATACAAAAAGTAAAACCTCATAATTTTTCATGTTGATTACATGTTGAGATGATGTTTTATATAAACATCATTATATAAACATAAACAATATTGTTGGTTTAATATTTCACCTGTTTTTTTAATATGAATCATAAATCAACCAATGAAGTAGAACATCTTTTCACATACTTGTTTGTTTTTTATTATAAGTCTTTTAACATATGTCTTTTATATATTTTAAATAGATATTTCCAGAGAAATAGCCCTTTAAGTCCTATTAATTTTTTTTTATGTTGTTGAGTTGTAATAGCTCTTTTTATATTCTAGATAATAAACCTTCATCAGATATATGACTTGCAAATATTTTCTCCTATTCTCTGGGTTCTGTTTTTACTTGCTTAGTAATAGTGTACTTTGAAACACAAAGTTTCAAATTGCCATGGTATCCAATTTATTTTTTCTTTTATTGCTGTCATACGCAACACTCAGTTGTCAAATCCGAGATAATGAAAATTTACCCCTATATTCTTCTCTAAGAGTTCTGTGATTTGACTTTCATATTTAGGCTTTGATTCATCTTGAATTAATTTGTTACATGGTATGATTTAAAGGACCAATTTCATTCTTTTGTAACTGACTATTCAGTTGTCCAAAACGAATTATTTGAAAAGTCTCTTCTTCCTCTGTTGACACATCCTGCCATCTTTATTGAAAATCAGTTCATATATGGGCTTATATTTAGACTCTCAGTCCTGTTTCATTGATCTTTGTGTCTGTTGTTAAGCCAATACCACACTGTGTGGATTACTGTTGTTCTATAGTAAGTTTTGAAATTGGGAAGTATGAGTTCTCAGACTTTGTTCTTTTCAAGGTTGTTTGACTATCTTCAAATCCTTGCATTTCCGTATAAGTTTTACTTACCAGCTTACCAGTTTATGCAATGAGACCAGCTGAGTTTCTGATAGAGATTACATTGAATCTGTAGATTCATTTGGGCAGTATTACCACTTTACAATAGTAAGTCTTCCAATGCACAGACATGGAATGTCTTTCCATTTATTTTAATTTTTAATTTTTTCAACAATGTTTTGTAGTTTTCAGAGTGTAAGTTTTGTACTTCTTTTGTTAAATTTGTTCCTAGATAATTTATTATTTTAACTGTCATTGCAGGTGGAATTGTTTACTTAATTTCACTTTCAAATTGTTGTTACAAGTTCATAGATTTTTGTTCCAGTCTGCCTCTACATTTTGATATGAGTATTTACTCTCATTTTTATGTTATTGACGGTTGGATTTATGTCTACCAATTTTTTCTATATTTCATGTCTGTCTTGTTCTCCATTCATCCTCTACTGCTTTCTTTCACATTAAGTAGATACGTAATATTTATTTTATAATGTTTTCACTGTATTTTGAGTTATTTCCTTTGTTATTGCTCTAGAGCTTACTTACACATTTCATCAGAATGCTTTAGATTTATATTAATTTAATTTTACTGAGATTTAGAAACATTGCTGGAATTACTTTTGATTTCTGGGTTGAAGTGTATTTACTACATCTTTTGTGTTTATTTCATTGTTGATATTTATCAGTGGTCTGTTTGTTGTAAATATAATAATAATATAGGAATAATTTTCTTTACAGTTAGAATCAAGAATAGACGAACTTAATAAAGAAGTTAAAGCTTCCAAAGATAAGCTAATAGCTCAAGACAATGCAGCTAAAAATGCAATTCAACAATTACACAAAGAGATGGCTCATCGGATGGAACAGGTATATTCAAGTTATTGACTTTATACTATGGTGTCTTATTTATTTAAATAAACTAACCCTATCAGATGATTTTGAACATTGGTGGTATATTAAGAATAGGTGATTTCATTTATACAAAAATTAATCTTTTTTTAAAAAATGCTATAGCCATACAAAAATATAGCCTAACTGCAAAAAACTAATAAATTAGGGGGTACATAGAATAAAAAGTGAAAGTCCCCTGTCTGTATTTCTTCCTCTTTATACCTTATTCTCTTACATCCCATTCTGTTCCTTGTTCCATAGCTAGTTATTGATATTTGGGTTTTATATCTTAATTCACATATGCATGTATAAATCATGCTTGTTTATGTGTACATATGCATAGACTTTTCCCCCATACTTGATTGAAATCTTGTGCTGCTTTTTTGGTAACTTTTTTCAGGTTTCAGAAGAGGTCATGTTAAGCATTACTTTTGTATTATAATTGTCTTAGCTTCTTGAGGATTGGACCTCAGTCATCTTCATTTCTGTATCCATGAAACCTAGCGCAATGTCTGACTTACAGTTGGTCCTCACTTCAAATTGAGTCCGAAAGGGCTAACTACTTGTTGAGTTAGTTCATTGAGATGGATCCTGTCCTTTCTACCTTGTAGCTACCTTTCCACCTTTGGTGGCTTTCTGGAAGAACTTTAGGAAATAGATGATCCTCAACCTTTATTTTTGTGATTATTTACAATATGCAGAGCCTTAGCATTTGAAATGTTAATATATTTCAAATCCATCCTTGAAAGTTTTCAGACAAAGAAATAATTGAAAGGAATTATATAAGACCTTAAGAAGTTAGTGGTTTTAGTGGACCCAAACATAGGTAATTAGAGATTCATCTAGTGAGCTTTAAAAAAAAAATACTCCTTTGATCTCACTATATTTTAAAATAAAAATAGAGTCATGAAACCTGGTAAATTTAGAACTGGAGACCCAGCATGAGGTGCATGTGTTCAAGTACACATACATACTCTCCCCAGTTAAATTTTCCAACTTGAAGTTTCCCCATGTCTCAGATTAGGTGACTAAGATTATAGATCTTGAAAATTGTCAGCCATATATTCAGGTTACTGGCTGAAATCAGTAACTGGTGATTTGAGGAGATTAATTTTTACTAAATTGTGGGCAAGGATTAAGGAACCTGAGCAAGGGGAACTGCAGAATCCTGGGCTATTGGATGATCCATTGTCATTTGGTGGACTAAAAGAATAAAGAAAGGAAGCAAGTAGTACAGCCCACAGGTTAGTTGTGTAGAGAGGTACTTTATAGAAGTACTGACCTTCAGCCAACTTGTGATGACTCTAAATCTCACTCTCTGCCTTTTGATCTTCTGCCTAGTGCCTCCACTTGACCAGCTGGAAGTACAAGGATGACACTTGTTGATAGGGTCCCTGATAGTCTTCTTTCCTGAGTACAGAGTAGGACAGGACAGAATGAGAACGTGGATTCGGAGTAGTACGCAGAAAATAGCAACTGTATCAGCCAGAGTAAAAGGAATAGGAAAAAAATGTTAAAAGCAAATACTAGTGGTACTAATTTGTTTATTGTATTGTTAAACTTTTGAATTTTTTCTTTCATTTTAAAATTTCATGACACATGTCCTTGGAATACTGTGCAAAAAACCAAAAAATACATTGGTAAAATTATAGGAAAATATTTATTTTGATTTATTCTTATTTTGATTTGAAAAAGTATTTTTTTTATTCAGCTAGATAATATTTTTTTCAAAGGCCAATAAGAAATGTGAAGAGGCACGTCAGGAAAAAGAGGCAATGGTAATGAAGTATGTAAGAGGTGAGAAGGAATCTTTAGACCTGCGAAAGGAAAAGGAGATACTTGAGAGAAAACTGAGAGATGCAAATAAGGAATCTGAGAAAAACACCAACAAAATGAAGCAGCTTTCTCAAGAAAAAGCACGCTTACACCAGCTGTACGAAACAAAGGTATAACCTGGTGATAGATCTTCATTAAAATTGTAATCTTTGCTTTTCTTTAATTACATGACAATATGATTAAACTACTCTTAATCTTAAAATATTTATTATTTTACCTAAGAACAAGAATGCTTCAGTGATTGCAGTATCTTGTTACCTGTCTGCAAAAATTTTTTTCTGGGAAAGTATTAGGCATTGACACATAAATTATTTATTAGATAACTTCTCTTTTTTAAAAAGATTTATTTTTATTTATTTATACAAGCACTGGGTACAGTCAGAAGCGTGGGGAGTGTGAGAGAATTCACCAGAGCCAGAGCAGAGAGCAGAACAGGCAGACTGTCGAAGCACACTGCTGAGGGGAGCAGCGGGCAGCAGGAGAGGTCTGTGCGTCATGTGGGACCCCCCCGCCCAGCGGCCGGGGATGGAATTGGTGCTGCAGAGGCTGTGGGCAGCTTCGCAACCCAGCACTCAACCGCTATGTCACTGGGGAGGCCCTATTAGATAACTTCTTGATAAATCTCTTTAAAAATTTAAAGTTCAAAGTTTATTTTTGAAGGAATGCATTTGTGCCTTGAAAGAAGATTTTATTTTGATAAAATATGTATACAGGTATACAGTGTGTCAAATATGAAGTTTTTGAGTCACGAGAAAAGTATAATTTGACCAGAATCCTAAAGTAAAACTTACCATAGAATGGAATTTACATTTTTCTTGTAGAAAAACATTCTTAGATGCTTTCCAAGGAGGTTTAATTACTGAGAGTTCAGAACGCTTGCTATTAACTGCCCCAATGGCATGGTCTCATTTCCAGTGGGTTATCATTTCTTGGTGATGAACGTTAGTTTTTTTTTTTTTTTTTCATTAACTCTTAGTTCAGGAATGTTGTTCTTGTTCTCAGGAATTCTGGCAGAACCAATTTAATTTGCATTTCATCTTAATGCCTGCTAGTTGAGAAGAATCATACAGGTATGCTTGTCCTCCCAGCATATCTGGTTGGTTCATATAGGAGTATCAATCATCTTCATGTCTGTTGATTGGATTTAGGATTTTGCTGTTCTCTTGTGGTTTGAACTCTAAATAAGTTTTATGGCTCGGAGTCCTTCAGCACACTGCCAGCATCTGAATTAGTGTTAACGCAGTAATCATTTTGAGGTGATGATACACAAATAATTGGTTTATTGGTTTATGACCAGTGATGTTATTATTTTAGGAAGGTGAAACTACTAGACTCGTCAGAGAAATAGACAAATTAAAGGAAGATATCAACTCTCACATCATTAAAGTAAAATGGGCACAAAACAAATTGAAAGTAGAAATGGATTCACACAAGGTGAGTATAGTAATAGTAGAAAATTATTAGAATAGCGTTAAGCACAAATGCAGTAATAGTTAATGAGGCAGTTTTCAATAGATACCACAGCCATAAATCCAAGAATTGGCTTTATCGTTGAGTGTGCAAAGAACTGTTTAACACTTTAATCTTCTTGCCTTGTTAGATGAGTAACTTCAGGTGATTTGCTGAAATCTCTATCAAATCGAGCTTTATTTAATGGCTCAGTTAACTCTACAGGCCACTTTAGCTTTTTTGTGAGAAACATAAATTGTTATTACCAGAGCAGTACCTGACCCTTCAGTGGCTGTGCTAGAACAAGAACTTTCCCTGTTCTCTGATCATTGTTCATGACATTTATCACATCATTGTGCTCAGCCTTGTTGTTTTCTTTATCTCAATACAGGAAACCAAAGATAAACTCAAAGAAACAACAACAAAGTTAACCCAAGCAAAGGAAGAAGCAGATCAGATACGAAAAAATTGTCAGGATATGATAAAAACATATCAGGTATGCTTAACTTTTCAAGTAGATTAGTAACAAATTTGCTAAATATCAGTATATTCTTGTTTCATTAAATTTTTGGATCTGCTATATTTGAAGTATGGAGTGGATTTGGTAGGACAGTTGAATAAAATTCAGATTATTTCCTTTGTTAAAGAAAAACTTGAAGTTTAAATAGAAATCTTGTAATAGTAGTAGTGTTTAGCCAAATGAAAACACTAGAAATTGTCAGAAGAATGAAGATTACAAAGAAATGTTCACTTAAAGAGTTTCATACCTTAAATCTGCTATTATTCATGCACAATTACCGTATTTGAAGGTTTTCAATGCAGACATCGCATTTAGGTGTGTAAACCGCATATTACAGTTAGTAAACTTAATTGCAAACCTTTCACTTTCCAAAGTATAACCTTTTAAAAATTGAATCATAATTTTTTCTTTGCATTTCCATTAGGAGTCAGAAGAAATTAAATCAAATGAGCTTGATGCCAAGCTTAGAGTTACAAAAGGAGAACTTGAGAAACAAATGCAAGAAAAATCTGACCAGCTGGAGGTGAGTGGTTTTGTTCTAAATATGCTCTAGACTGTGTAATAAATGTAGAAGAGAGTGAGTACTTATTGTCACCTGTTTTTGAGACCTTTGGAAGGTGCCAGGCAATACATTTTTAATCTAGTTTGGTACATAGTAATTGTGGCTTCTTTTAAACTTTTAATAAGATGCATCATGCCAAAATAAAGGAACTGGAAGATCTGAAAAGAACATTTAAGGAGGGCATGGATGAACTACGAACGCTGAGAACAAAGGTAATTGAATCTTTAGTCATGACTGTACGGTAGGGTAAATATATTGGACTAATTCTGATTTTTTAAATGTTGGGGAAAAGATATGTACATAGAAATTTTCCAAAACAAAAGAACTCTGAGGAGTAGAATGCCAGTTCTGTGCAACATAATCACCTTTGTCGAAATGAAAATGCCTTCCACTTCAGTGAGTGTTTGTCACACCTTCCCAAGGTGCCACACCTTGCCACACACGAACTTCATCGTCCATGACTTACCCTTGGTCTGCTGCCCTAAGGCAGTCTTACCAGCCAGTTAATTGGAAAGAATTGGTCTTTAGAGCTGAGTGTGAAAAAATAATAAAAAGACTTTCTTTATATTTCTCCTGGATATGTTTCACAGTCATGTATAGTTTTCATTTCTAACAATTATTAAATCCTTCCAGTTTTTTATAGTCTTTACTGTAAGAAAAGTATAGCTATTTACTATGTTATGTCCTCATGCATTTATTTTAAAAAGTCTTAAATCATCTTGAATTTGTGATCACTTAAGTAATTTTCAAAGTACTTTTCATGTACGCTTCTATTTGCTCTCTGCACTAGTCTGTCGGGTAGTAGGGAAAGATTATTCTCTCTTCTGTAAGAAAAAGATTGAGCAAAAATAAAGTGACCTGATAAAACTTCCTTGATTAAATCATAGAAAAGCTGAGACTGAAACACCAGGACTTTTAACTTCTCCTTATATTTTCTTCACATTAATATTGCTTCAGAATTCAGCTTAGATCATTAATAACCATTATCTGAAATGTTAATCAAGAACAAGAACATATTGTTTGTAGTTTAACTTGATTTGGATTATTTGATAGGTGAAATGTCTAGAAGATGAACGATTAAGAACAGAAGATGAATTATCAAAATATAAGGAAATTATTAATCGCCAAAAAGCTGAAATTCAGAACTTACTGGACAAAGTGAAAATTGCAGATCAGATACAAGAACAGCATCAAAGGTATAAAACAAGCAACATCTGTTTGTGCCAGCCAACAGACTTTAAATTTACCTCGATTCTATTTTAAAATGCAATTGTTACCTTAAGAATAATTTTACACTTTAACTAATTAAAAAAAATTTCATTCCTGTCTTCATTTGGATTTTTTTTTGGATTATCTTTGAAGTTCTCATCCTGGCTTCTAAAAACCAAAGTTTATATTCCCTAAACATTGGAAATAGCAATTTGTAAGACAGAGTGGTTTTAGTTTTTTTAATATGTTCCTTAGCTTTCAAATTCTATTACTTATGCAGACTACTTTTTCTTTTAAAAAGAGGTTATATAGCTTTGTATGTATGTAGCTTGAAATCAGGAGCTGATATTATTCTTAGCTTTGTGTGAAACCATACAGCTAAACACTACTCATGACATTATCTGAATGCAGAGCCTGCATTCAAGTCAAATCCAAATAACTTCTTTTTCTTATGTTCCTGATATCCACAACGCTCAGGAAATCCTCACCATTATCCAGCTTCTGTAAATTCATGGCCAGCAACCTCCACTGGGAATATTAGTGTACCTCTAGCCTTACCATCTGTCCGAAGAGCCTTCTCTTCCATCTTGCATATATTCCAAACCTAACTGCTTTCTTCACATTTCTGGCCTTCACTCACTATTTACTTTCCTGTTCCTTCACAGAAAAAAATAGGAGCTGTCAGCTTATAGTCTGTCAACTTCTTGCTGTCAGTCCTGTGAACTTGCCTGTATCTGCACCATTCTTCTTTCTTTTCTTTCTGTTGTTGTGGAAGAAATATTCTGATTTGAATTATTTTCTCTATGTTCTTTTGCCTTCTTAAGGTCTGACTTGATTATTCCTTCATGTCTTCACTTCCTTTAGGAATAGAGGGTGTATTTCTCTCTTCATTAAAAAATTTCTAGTAAATCCTTAAATCCAGTAGACACTTCTCAGTCTCAACGTTACTTGAATTTTAATTATTTTTAACACCATTGAACCTGTTTTTTTCCTTTTCATGCTCTGGTCTTTGGGCTTCATTTCATCATGCTCTCTGGTATTCTTCCCCACTTTCTGGCCTCTCTTTTGTCAGTCTCCTTGGCAGCCTTCTCTTTCTGTCTGAAAACTTTCATTTTATTCAATCCCTTGGTGATCCTAAGTATTTCCATTACTTTGCTGTAGGATCTTCAAATCATTATCATTAGTGCTTTTTACTGAGCTCCAGACACATAAGTATCAAAGACACCCCAAACTTTAACATGTCCAGAACAAATTAAACTATTCTACTCACAAATAGGCTTTTCCTTTGGTATTCCTGAGATGAGTAATGAATGCAGTATCCACCTGAATTTCCAGCCCAGGGACCCAGGGATCAGCTTTGACACTTACCCTTCCCCTCAAACATGTACCAATCACAAGATATTGTTGGTGCTAACTCTTTAATATCTCTCAAGTCCAATTTCTTTTTACGTCCCCACTATTGCTACCATCATCCTAGCCATCATTAGCCCTTAACAGGAAAGCTGTCACAGCTAAACTGGTTCCTCTGCTTAATTCCCTTTTAATCCATTTCCTTCAGATAGATAAAATCTTTTCCAAAAGGAAATCATTTCAGAACCTCTTAGTGATTTCCCAAGGATTGCCTAGTAGTGCAGATGCCCTAATGTGACTTGGAAGATCATTAGTGACCTCTCCCCTCATTCTCTCTCTGTGCCTTCTCCTTTTACACTCTGTGTTTTAGCCGTACTTGATTAATAAACGTTGATTGACTGACTGCTGTGTGCCAAGCTCTGGAGCTATCGTGTGGTCTTCTTCATCAGTATTGAACATCTCAGTACCAATAAAGTCATTCACTGTTCCTTTTCCAGCTTCCATATATTCTGCTTACTCCTTATCCTAGATATTTTGTTCTCTCAGTAACTCTTGCTTTTCCTTTAGGCCATGGATTAGCAGACTGTGGCCACAGCCAAATCTAGCCCATGGCCTTTTTTGTAAGAAAAACGTTTTGAACATAGCTATGCTCATTTCTTTATATGTGTGACAGCTTTCATACTACAGTGGCAGAGTCGTATGCTCCAGAAGCCTAAATTCTTCACTGTCTGGTCCTTTTACAGGCAAAATTTGCTAACCCCTACTTTAAGTATTAGTTCAGCATCACTTACACCAAGTTAGGCAACCTGCTCTGTGCTTTCATCATCAAAATGTTTTATCACATTCATATAATTTCCCTCCTTGACTGCAAGCTCTTTGAAAACAGGGGTCATGCTGGTCTTTTCGCTTATATTCCCAGCTTTTAGTTCTTATCATATATTGGGCATTCGTAAATATTTAGATAAATGAATAAATAGTATCTTTTAAAATCATTTCAGTCGATGAAGATTCCCAAACCATTAATGTCTTTTAAGAGTTTAATTTTTTTTCTTAAATATAAACTTTGTTTTTTAGAGGTAAACAAGAAATTGAAAATTTGAAGGAAGAAATGGAAAGTCTTAATTGTTTGATTAATGACCTACAAAAAGACATCGAAGGCAGTAGGAAAAGAGAATCTGAGCTACTCCTGTTTACAGAAAAGCTCACTAGTAAGAATGCACAACTTCAATCAGAATCCAATTCTTTGCAGTCACAGTTTGATAAACTTTCCTGTAGTGAAAGTCATTTACAAAGCCAATGTGAACAAATGAAACAGACAAATATTAATTTGGTAAGTATAAATGAACATTTAATTTTTAAAACACTTAGCAAGAGGCACAAATAACATTTCCCTAGTGGTAGTTGATTTAAACTCTTCTTTTTCACCAACTCTGGTATTTTATACGCTGTGAGAATGTCAGTTTTTCCCTTCAACTTATTGTAACTTACAATAAAATTCTCCCTTAAATGATTATAAAGAAGCACGTCACTTTTGAACAGAAAAACCCAGGTTATTTGTCATCCTAACTGGAATTACTACTTATTTTTTTTTTTTAATACTTTAAATATCTGTATGTTTTATAGTTTAAAAATGGTTTAATATTTTGAAGTTATGAGAGTATCAACTTAATCATGAAAATAATTTGACACTTCAGTCCAAAAATTCAGAGACTTCTATCACAAGTGATTTTGCATATATAGAACGGCAAATCCGCTAATGTAGCTCTCTGCATTACAACATGAGGAGTTTGAGGAGCTCAGTAAACAGACCTAGCAAGGAGTGATGATGATAGAAAGATCTGCTACCAAGGAACTTGTATTTTTAAAGTTTTAATTGTGAGCATTAAATTAATTAAATCTGCTATAAACATTGATGCTTTTTTATATTAATATTTAGGAAAGTAAATTGTTGAAAGAGGAAGAACTGCGAAAAGAGGAAGTCCAGACCCTGCGAGCTGAACTTACTTGTAGCCAAACAGAAGTTAAGGCTTTGACTACCCAGGTAGAAGAATTAAAAGATGAATTAGTCACTCAAAGACGTAAACATGCCTCCAGTGTCAAGGATCTTACCAAACAACTCCAGCAAGGTATGAAATCCTTCCACACTTAGGTCTTAATGATTTTGTTATTTTTAGTCATTAAGGGATTGTAGAAAAAAATGTTTTACATTGGCTTCTGCCACATTGGGTGGAACCCCATGTGCTCTTTATAAATGCATTATTCATAAGTCAAATTACTAAATTTCTCAAAGTTCTGTGAATAGCCATCTTACATGCTATAGGGCATTTATTCACAAACCATAGAATCTAAGCATAAGGGAGGTACTTTAGAGTAATAGTGCCTACACTTTTTTTGATCACATATTCCTATTAGTAACATATTTAAGCCTTTCCTCTCCAGTTTAGATGTATCTATTTGTAAATTGTAAGCATGTATTATCCTATTTTGTGTACGTTAAGAAACATAGGAAAAATAGTAATTAAAAAGATCAGGGTAAATTAAATTTATATTGAAGTTCTATGACAGCTGGTCCCAGAACTGAGGCTTGGGGTGAGTGGAGGGAAGAGAGCACAGTGGACCGTGGTGGAGGACTGCGGGTGCTTTGGTGTGGTGGGTGTGCTGCAGTAACTGTACCTGGAGCGGGAGATGATATACTTCCTAGGATCTGTTAGTGTTGGTTTACACTAACAACAGTGTAAACCAGTGTTACTTCAGTAAAAAATTTGAATTAAAAAATAAATATATTGAAGTTCAAATATTTTCTTATATATCTGTGAATTTTTTTGAGCTCTATCTAGGGTAGCTTTACCTACCTTGAAGACCTCTGACTTAGAGATTACTGGGACATAATCTTTCATCTTGTGGGAAACTAAAACCCAGAAAATTTATAGATTATCCAAACACAGTAATTAACAACCAGATTTGTTTCATTTAAAAATCATTAGGTGTTTGTGCTGTGTGCTTGGATACAAAGATGAATAAGATACGATTCTGACATCTTATTCTCTGCTGTACTCCCCACTGCTTTATTTGTGTTAAAATGGGGTGAAATATAGTAATAAAAAGTTTAACATAGATATATTCAGATTTGCCATAATAATTCAGTTGGTTTTTACAGGTATAACTGAAGGGAAGTTGGGGGAAATTTCTTTATAGATCTTCTAAATCTTTCTAGACTTCAATGGGTATATTCAGTGTATCTAAGTGTTGCCAGAATCAATTGTTGCATAATGTTTCTATGTATTTTGTATTTGACCTGTCCATTTCTACATGACTTTCTATATGATTGCACCTGTAGCCCTCCTGTCTAAAGTTTGTATTCAAGAAATTTCTCTCATTTTTATGCCATTTGGGCCTAAGTGATATTTGCAGTTAAAATTAAATATAGTGGGGGCAAATGTTCATGATAATTGTTGCAAATAATCCATTTCTCTTTGCTGTAGCACGAAGAAAATTAGATCAGGTTGAGAATGGAAGCTATGATAAAGAAGTCAGCAGCATGGGAAGTCGTTCTAGTTCATCAGGTAAAATACTAATGATTTTAGTTGCTACTTAGTGATTACCAAAAAAATAGCATTTTTTGTTGTTGTTTTAAAAGGTATATCCTTTAATTTTGAATTATTTAAAGGGGGTAGTTGTACATAATGGTAATAACTGTAAAAAATATTTCCAGTTAAATGCAAGTATGTCATGGGAGTCTATAACATCTGTCACCCTCTTTTTCTTACCTACCTTTTTTAATTCTGTGCAGCTTCCTCTTCCATTTTAAAATTCAGATACATATACACCCATATAGAGACATTTGGCATAATATGATTTCTGTCTCTTTCATTTTTATATTTTATCTCTTTGAGAACTAATGAAATGATTATTGTATATCAGTTGTTACTGTATGTATGTATATGTTATGAATACATATGTATTTATTTTATATATATATGTATTTTTTTAATTGCTTGACTTTTCTCATGATAAATATGCCTCTGTGGTGTAAAGCAAAAATAAACTGAATCTATAAAATAGTAATCAATAACTTTGTGCAGTGGTCTCATTCATAGCAGGAATCTAGAAAACCTAAATAACGGACCAGGAAAAAGAATAACTATAAGAAAGAAAAAATCAAAATCAATAAACAACTGTGAACCAGAGACACACTATGTCGGGGGGAGGCCGGGAAAAGGAGGGATGGGGTCAAAATAAGGGGGTTGCAATTGTATGGGGAATATAAAAATAAAATGGAAAAAAAATACAAAGGAAGAAAAATACCAAGGAATTAAAATGTTTAAATAAAAAAATAAAATAATTCATGCCAAAAAAAAAAAGCTTTGTGGAAATGATAGCAAGATATCAAAGCATTTACTATTTTTAGAATGCCAGGAACCACGCCAAATGTTTTAAATATATCATTTGCTCTGTACAACAGTCATGTGAGTTGAGTGTTGTAATTCCCATTTTACAGATGAGAAAATTAAGAGTCAGAGTGGTTCCATGACTCAGCCAGAATCTACAGAGCACAGAAGTTTAAGTAGCCAGAGTCACAGAGCTGCAGTTGAGGAGTAGGATTTGGACCTAGGGAGCCTGGCTCCAGAACTTAACCACTGGCTGTGTTCTGTCTTCTCTTTCTCACTCTTGTTCTTGCTTTCTGTTTAATTTTGGTCTCACTTCAGGCTTGTTATTTTAACTTGTCCTTGAGTTTCCTATTTCTCTATTGCCATTTCCTCATCCTGTTCCTGAGAGACATAATAGACTGTTTTGGTAATCATCAGTGCATTAAGAAACAGGAACTCAGGCCAGGTATGATTGTGTTCTGTGCCTAGCTCTGTGAGATTGAATATTTGAAAATGATACTGGAATAAATAATAGTTGCAATTAGAGATGATTCTAAATTAAGCTCACTATCTAAACTTATTTTTTTAATCTTCAGGGTCCCTTAATGCGCGAAGCAGTGCAGAAGATCGATCTCCAGAAAATACTGGGTCATCAGTAGCTGTAGATAACTTTCCAGAAGTAGACAAGGCCATGTTGATCGAGAGGATAGTAAGATTGCAGAAAGCACATGCCCGGAAAAATGAAAAGATAGAATTTATGGAGGACCACATCAAACAGTTGGTGGAAGAAATTAGGAAAAAGACAAAGTATGTTTATTATGGTAACGTAATCTGTATTTAAAATCCCATTATTCATATGGTAAGGTTACTGTTTTCAAAATTAGTCATATCAGGATCCTGGCTTTTAAAAAATAATTAAAGTTACTCAGTTCCTAGTTTTTTATTGATCACTTGTTATGTTGTAGGTTTTGAGACTATAGGAATGAAAGAAAACACAGGTCTTTCCTTTAAGATGATAGAGAATTTCATAGATGTTAATTTTTTTGAAAATAACTTTGGACTTAAAAAAAGACAGTGTCTAAGTAGTTTGTTATTTCCATAACTATGGCTCTAAGAAGATTTTGGGTTCTGGATAATTTGCCCTGTTGCATAGGACTCAGTAGGGTAATTTATTAGATATCTATACCACTGTGCCTGTGGCTTAATATTTCAGTAATCCCAACATCTTATTACGTCAGCTATAATCTCTTACTACTACTCAGGGAAAGAAGCCGCATTCTCTAATTTGGCAGATAAGTTAATGGAGGTTCAGGTTAAAATACTTAAAAGTTCCAGAATCAGCCCTTACACTGCAGGTGACAGACATAGAGCTGGAGATACAAACCAACTCTCACTTCAGAACCTGTGCTGTGCAAATTCCTCTCTCAAGAGCCATACTCAGTCAAGTAAGAGGGGTTGTTCCAGTGCAGGTCTTTGCCCCTGACTTTTTAGTTTTTATTTTAAAATAATGTTAGATTTAGAGAAACGTTTACCCATGACTTCTAAAAGAAAAAGAATAAAACACAAGTTTAGTAGCAGGAAAACAGAAAATATTAACTGCAATCAGAGCAATAATTTGCTCAAATATTTCGATTAAAGTAATAGGGAGAGAAATAGAAAAGCAATGTTTATGTCTTTAAATACCATCTTAGAACAGAAAAGGGATTAAGGAACCATCTGACGAAGGAAATTTATTTTCTAATACAGTTCTATCATTAACTTAATTAACAGTTCTGTTACTAAATTAATGCTTATTGTATGCTTGTAATTAGTTGACTTGTAAATTCCAGTGTTTTTTTCTGCAAGCACATAACTGATTGTGTCATTTTATTTTGTAGAATAATTCAAAGTTATATTTTACGGGAAGAATCAGGCACACTTTCTTCAGAGGCATCTGACTTTAACAAAGTCCATTTAAGTAGACGAGGTGGCATCATGGCCTCATTATATACCTCCCACCCTGCTGATGGCGGACTGACTTTGGAACTCTCTTTGGAGATCAACCGAAAGTTACAAGCTGTTCTGGAAGATACATTACTAAAAAATATTACTTTGAAGGTATTTGTATTTCTTACCTGCCAACCAATAAATTCATCCAACTGGTGCCCCTTTCATAGTTTAAGCTAGCTTGTAGACGGACTATGCCTGTGATGCAAAGTAGCCATTTTAAATAGATTTAAACAATTTTTTTCCTCTTTTGAAAAGTATAGTTTTTATTAGCTACCTGGCTAAGATAAGAGCAAAAAAAAAAAAAAAAGAATTTAGCTATTGACTAGACTAAGATGAGCTGTTTACTTTGCAGTGGGAGTGGGTGGCCTTTAATGTTATAATTGACTGATGAAACATTTTTTAAGACTGAGGCATTTAGTGTCTAGCTTTAAATAGCTATTATCTGTCCCAGCTCTTTGTGCTGTTTTGTCCTTAATAGAATGAATTTAAAAATTAAAGTTTTTAAGTAATACGTGTATGCACTAAAATTTGCTGTAGCTTCAGTAAGAAGGTTAAGTGCAACTCTGAAGTGTATGGGGTTGCTTCACTGAAAACAGCCGTGCATCTGGTTTAACATGAATCAGTCAATTTTGAAATTTAGGCAAAAAATTCAATCTTTTCACTTAAATTTAGTGGTTCTGTTTTTTCCCCTTCTTTCAATTGTTAAAGGAAAATCTACAGACTCTTGGAACAGAAATAGAACGTCTCATTAAACACCAGCATGAGCTAGAACAGAGGATGAAGAAACCCTAACACAAAGCTCTGATTCAGCAAACAAAAGCTGCACAGAAGCAGGTGCCCGGGCCCAGTACTTTTGGAAACTTTTCCTGCTTTCTGTGTCAGCCAGTAAAAATTTATTTTGCTTCGTCTGTATAAAAAAGTATCATTTTACAACAGGAATGTATTGCTAGGTATACTGCAAGAGTGTGAACATTAATGAAATTTGGTTCCGTATGGTGACAGCCTGTCATTGGATCAGAATTTGTTCATAGTCACAGAAAGTTCTGAACATTACCACAGGGCTTCAGAATGAACCCTTCACCATATTTCTTCCCTTTAAAATATACAATGTCAAAACTGATTCAGCTTTTTAAATCATGCATGAAAAGACAGTGTTCATGATTTAGTAATACACTATTTCTCCAATATGAACAAAACTAAAGTAATAAAAATTTTTGTTTTGCAACTCCACCATAACATTTGTTTTTGTTTTAGGGATGCCAAAGAGTAGTACTTAAAGCTTTTAATTATAGTTTGAATGGAAGTTAATAGGAAAGCTCACTCTTTGTGACTAGCAGTGGTCAGGCAGCGTATGCCTCTGTCAGCTTTCCTTACCTGTGCTAGGGACATTTTTTCAGATTCAAGTCAATGGTTGAGTTTTTTAATCTTCAATTAAATAAATATGATTTTAAATAACTTGCTCATTTAGAAAATTCCTGTGTACTTTAGTTATATTTTAAAATGTAGGAAAAGAATTAGTTATTTAGAACAGAGAAATAATCAATTATTTGAAACTGAAATACTTTAATTGGCATTAAGTGTAAAGATAAATGTTATGGTATTTGTGAAGAATCAGTTCCCAAGGAAATCCAATATGGCTGTTAACCATTTCATCTGAACACATTGTTTCCTAGTGACATAATTACTTGTTATCGTAGAGTGATCTTATGTCCCTAAATATGATGTGTTTCAGCATATTTATTTAAAACTCACAATAATTACATCTCTGTAACCAAAGGAATTTTAGAGTCAAATTTATATATTTTGTTGCATTTTTACAATATTTATTTAAGATGTGCACTTAAGTGTTGCCAGTCATGTTATCAGTATTTCTATGTCATTTTCTTTCCATCTCTTAAAATTTCTTACCTTTGATAATTTCTATGTGGTGTTTCACATTTCCTTATATTTATATCATTTTTATAATAGAATACCATCACCCACATGCTGATACTGTAGCAAAGCTCATTTTGTTTTGAATTTTTACATCCTCTTTTCCTCCTCTTAAGAGAAATAAACTTTGGGGTGATGGATCCAAAAGACTTTAAAATTTGTATGGCTCTAAAAAGTCTGACTTATAGTGGTAGTATATAACATTAATGTGTGTTATATAACATTTTTTTAAATTGATTTAGCATTATTTAAAAAGATTAGTAAGGATTAGATTGCTCAGATTCAGTGTGGTCTTACTGTGTCTGTTTATTGAGTTATCTGTTGTCTTCCAAAAACACTATTTTCACTTTGTGATGCCAATATTAAAGTTCAGAAATGTTTATTTTTAAAATAGCTGTACAAAGTATTAGTCTTACCATAATTTGTCTTGTTCTTTTTACCAATAATAATTTATCAAAATAGAGTAAGAGAGGGTAAGTGCAATCAAGTCTGAATTATTTCCTAGTTGTTTCTATACTATTGAGACTCCTAAAGACAACTAGAGTAGCCAACATAACTAAATTTTTATGATTTCTTATGTGATATAGATTCATACACTACAATATTTTTTTCCCTAAGGTACAAAAATTAATGGAGACCAGATAGTGATCAGATCCATAGTGCCCCATATCTGTACCTGTGTGTGTGTGTTTGTGTATGTGTATAACATACAAAACGAAACATTCCAATATTAACTTTCATTTGGAGTAGTTTAATGGTAGAACCATTTTAGAAGAGAGCTACTATAAGCCATATTTTTGTTTATTGTTACCTTTGTCTCCCATAAATGTGAGAAACTGGAAAACTTTTGATGAAAAGGCTTCATTTTCCTTTTGTTCTTCAGTAGCTTTTGTATCCTTTTTGTGTATGTGTTGGGACTAAGCAAAATAATGTGTAAAAATATGCAAACTTCAGATCTCTGTATTGATTCACAACTCCTGTTATAAGGATTTAGAGGGTCTCCTGTTCTTACTGCGTTGATAAAGAAAGAGAACAGGATGTCTGGGGAAGGGAAATAGTCTGCATAAACTGGAGATCTGAGGGAAATTTTGCTGTTTATGTTCATTATCACGTTTACATTCAAAGGCTGTTGGTTAGTTAGCAATATTTTGGTTTCTTTGAATAGGAAATGATTTTTCTGTGTGTATATTTGTGTATGCACTAGGTTCTAAATTTAAAGTGAATACTTAAACTGTGACTCCACTTTCCCATACCACTTCAAACTTTAGCCTTAGCCTATTAAGTTTTAAGGATTAAAGATGGTGGGTTTGGGAAGAAAGGTGAATTTGAACTTTTTAGCCTTTTTATTTGCATAACATTAAAAGCTATTTCTCTAGAAGCTTAATTTTACCAGGCTACCAACATACTACTTACTTGTCTGGTAAACACATTAATCGAAAACCTGTGATTGCCACGGACCATACAACATTGTGATTATGTTGGTAAACAGACCAGACAGGGAGTTCCTGTCCTCACGGAGCTTATAGTCTTGTGAATATACCAGGAGGCAGCGGGCCAGTCTGAACCTCTGTATCCACTCCCTGCAGCTGGTCTGGGAAAAGGGGTATGGCCTGGAACACACTCTCTGACGTGAAGCTTAGGGAATGCGTTCTTGCCCAGGCCTGCTGAGAGCAGCTTGCTGTTTTCATGATGGCGCTGCACATTTCCTGATTTTTGTCACAGTTTAATGTTCGATTATTCTTTAATAAAAAGGAAAACAATCCAAAGACCATACAATGACATTGGATTTTTGCCGTTGTAGTAAATTATCAATGTGTAGTTAATGCTCATAAAAATGAATCTAATCATGTTGCCAGGCATGTTTCTAAGCATTGTTTTGCAGTATATTTTCTAGAGATTTTTACATGTAAATTTTGACCAAGATTTACTGGTAGAAGAAAAAAAATATGAGCCATTTATGTTATATACACCACCCTGGTGAAAATATTTTATAAATCATGTTATTCGGTGTGGTTAATTTACTTAGTGAATATTAAACACATCAGCCTATTTTTCAATAACTTTTTTTAAACAAAAACAACTCCCCCCACCTTTTTTTTGACACTAGGATTAATTTTTAACACCAGTTGGTGGCACTAGAAACCTGAAGTTTTTCACGGTTGAACGAGAGAAATTAATTGAAAAAGTATCTAAATGGAAACGATCACCAGGAAAATAAATGAAAAATGTAACTGTATAGTAAAGATGTATTTTTCTTCTGAAATGGAATTCTTTTTTAAAATACCTTTTACTGTCCATTTTGATTGCAATGATGAAGCTTGTTTATCTTCCAAAGTTCGTGTGTATATGTGTATGTGTGTGCATCATGCAAATCTTTAATTTGATTACACTGTTTATGTTGTAAATATGTTTCTGTATAAAATGAAGCTTTTAACAGAATTCTATGTATATATTGTACTTATTAAATAGGTAATGCCTGTTTACCAAGTTGTATTTTAATGGTGTCCTTGATTATTTTATTAATACATACACCACTTGCCACACAGACTGATTCTCTAGACTATTAGGAAGGCGGACTCAAACTGCTTGAATTTTTTTGGCCAATCTAGAAATTTATGTCCGTATTTCTTTATCAGTTATCATTAGAAGTTAATAAATAATAGTGAGCAGGTCAAATTGAATGTCGGGTTGTAACTGAATTTTTGATAACAAAATTTGGCCTTTTCCAAAAGAAATTTTCACATGCATATGCTATAGGTATCATGAAAATTTCTCACTGACTTCAATAAGCTAGTGATATATTCAGATTTTCCACAAAATTGAAAATTCCAAAAGTTTGGAACTTCTCCAAGTTATCGGATTTTAATATACATATTCAATAAGACACTGAAAAGGCATTAATTTCATCAAACTAACACGTGATAGATTTTTATATCACAACATGTATTTACTTCCTGTGCCAAACAATTTTACCGTTGGAAAGAATCCCCTGAGATAAGGATCCTTGGAATAAAGGTAGAATGAATAGAATAGAGCAAGCTTTCCTGACATCTCCTTCTGCTTTCGGTAGGCTATGAATTTGTTTGCCAGAGAAAGGAATATGTTGAGGAAGAGTGAGGGAAAGACACTGACTTATGCTTCTTAATTGGTCAGTGTGACCCACAGGCAAGATTGGAAAAACCATTCCAAAGAACTTCTATCCAAGTCGTTTTTCTGGCAGTCCCATTAAATTGAAAGAGGACGCATAACATTTCTTCCCTATCAACAACTTGAGGTTTCCGGGTGACCAGTGCTGATGCTGTTTGAACGATCCTGACGACGGCGTGACCAGACGTGAGGTTCCTGCCCCTATAGAGAGGTGCTATTAATTCCTAAGTTGCATTTAAGAGATTTCCTGTTTTTCTAAATAATACATTTAAGATGTATTCTATTTCTGAGGAATTTGTAGCCTTATTTTGATTGCCCAAAGACCACAATTTTTTTTTTTTTTTTTTTAAGATTGATTTATTTGTTTTTACAAGCACTGGGTACAGTCAGAAGCGCGGGAGGGTGAGCGAATTCACCAGAGCCAGAGCGGGGAGCAGAGCAGGGGGAAGGACCGAAGTACACTGCTGAGGGGAGCAGCGGGCGGCAGGAGAGGTCTGCGCGCCATGTGGGACCCTCCTCCGGTGGCCGGGGAGCAGCCGGGGATCGAACCGGCGCCGCAGAGGCTGCTGGCAGCTTTGCAACCCAGCGCTCAACCGCTGCGCCACCGGGGAGGCCCAAGACCACACTTTTTATTTTTTTTTAAGACTGCCTGCTCTTAACCCAATCACTCCCCAAAAGGGGTAAGATATTTAAGAGAGGAATCTACCAATTGACCCAGTTCAAAAATTTCTCTTGAAAGTTTAGGAATTACTGAAATTTAAAACTTACCATGTTGATAGTCTCCTTCTGGTTACATTAACTTGGGGAAGACATACCAAATGGCTTTTCAAGTCATTCACTCTGTAATTTTCTTTGTCCTAAATAAATACCTCAGGGCAGGAAGTCTAGGGTGTGCATATGTGTTTTTGACACCCTCCTTCTGCTTGTCCCAAGAAATATCAGTCCTGCTGCACTACCTAGTGCTGCCTAGGCAGGTTTTCTCCTTATGAACTTTGACCAGGGAAGATACCCCCATATGCCGGTTACCCCTACTACTCTTGGTGTTGGCCCAGCTGTATTTCTGCTCATATGTATGGAAGAAATACTTTTAAATAATTGGCTACCACCAGCGCCCCCATTCATTCCCATCTCCCCAGAGATCTAGGTCCCCAGAAGCCCATACTAAATGAGAGTGGTCTTTGGGTTCTGAACTAGCTTCTCCCTGAGTTTTTTGTTTTGTTGTTGTGTCAATTTGGGGTGAGCGGAGGGAGGCCCTGCCAGGCCTAGCAGATGGGGAAGAATCTGTTCTGGTCCCTGAGTAAGTACATATCAGACTCAGAAGTGGTTCCTTTGAACAGTGGTATCCTATCATATTTTGTTTCTGAAAGTTTTTTTCAATGAGCATGTAATACTTTTGCTATAGTGAACTTTTAAAGTTTTACCCTATATTGCAAACATGGCACTATAGGAGGGCATATTAAAAAGAAAAAAAAAGGTTGTGTGTGGAGTGGTGTGTATATAGTCAAGGTCTTGAGAAGACACTGTGTAGGGTAAAGAAAATATCAGGCTTTTCTGCCCTTCCGCCATCAGGATAGATGATGGATCCTTGTCCTGAATGCATGCCTGATGGCGGGCACCTGGAGTAGGGTGTGGGCAGAGGTAGATGGGATTCAGCTGAGCTAAGACTGCTTTTAAGGGCGGCGTCACGGGGACGCCAGTAGCAGCAGTAGCAGCCAAAGCAGAAGCCGAAAGAGAAGCCAAGAAGCAGCAGAACGAACTCCAGAGAGCCCAGATAGAGTGAAGACTTTCACTCTATGAAAGGTGCAGCCAGCACCCCTGCCTGCCATATACCCGCTGAACCCCAATAAAAGACCTGCAAAACCACTGAGGACTCTGACTCCTCCTTTACCCGGTCTGCATGGGATCAGAAAACCTGCACTGTGTCCAGGTCCTGCCTCTACACACTGTCATTTGTTTTTTTGATTCTTCCACCCAAGTGCTGACCAGGCCCAAACTTACTTAAGATCACTCAGGACGGGGTATATTCACAGTGGGATGACTGTTGACTCATTTTTCTCATCCTTTTGAAAGACACTGAGTCTAGAAATAGGCAGTGATGTGTGTTGCCGAAGAGGAGTAACATTCATTTGAACAGTGTCCCCTGAGAAGATCTATAATCCAGTTCTCACTTCAGACCTTTATTTTATTTTCAGACAGTGGCTTGGAGACATCTGCCTTCTAATCTGTTTCTGATGGGGCAATGGTGGGCACCAGCTGCATTATGGGAATAAATACATGAGAAGAAGGAACATGCCTGGCAGAGGAGCCAGATTTCAACCCCATCCTGTCCTCTGTGTACCATCCCCTTAGGGCCAGCAGGGGGCGCTTTTAGAAGGCTGGGAGTTTCTGTTAATATTTGTTGGACCTCCTAGGGATTCTTTTTTTCTTTTTTAAAGATTTATTTATGCATACAGGAGCTGGGGTACAGGCCAGAGATGCCGGGCAGGTTGGGGTGGGGGGTCTGAGAGGATTCACCAGAGACAGAGTGGGGAACAGAACAGGCAGATTGACTGAAACACACCGCTGAGGAGAGCAGCGGGCGAGTCAGGAGAGGTCTGCCGCGCCATGTGGGTTGCTCGAACTCGTGCTGCAGGGGCTGCGGATTGCTTCACAGTGCTGTGCTTAACCCGTTGAGCCACCAGGGAGGCCCCCGCCTAGGGAGTCTATCCTCAGGGCTTGGACCACAGTGAACATACTGTAGTGGTTTATCCATTTGTAGGTACAAAGAATAAAAGGGAGGACAAGCACTATGGGGATAGGAATTTTTACTGTTATCAAGCAAAGGAGGTGCTTGCATGAATTGCACGCTGTATCCTTTCTGGACAAGGAGGTCTAAATGTCCCATTTACAGCATGTTCTGTTTACACTCCAACAACTGTGTGCTGATGAGACAGGGCAGCAGAGACTGCTGACTCCTAACCACGCCTCACCCTGCCTCATGCTTGACCCTCAGGTTTAAGAAAGCTCCATCATCAAATATTTTGTTTGGGTTCTGTGGTACTGTAAGGGCGGGACAGGACACTGAGCAGGTTTTCTGATCCAGCAGACCAGGTAAAGGAGGAATCAGTCCTTAGTGGATTTTGCAGGTCTTTTATTGGGATTTAGTGGGTACATGGCAGGCAGGAGTGCTGGGGGCCAGGAGGCTGGCAGTCCTCCCAGCCCCCAGAAAATCTTCACTCTATCTGGGTTCTCTCTGCTTCTGCTTCTCTTGCTTCTCTCTCGGCTTCTCTTTCGGCTTCTGCTGGTGTCCCCGTGACGCCGCCCTTAAAAGCACAGTCTTAGCCCAGGTGAATCCCATCTACCTATGCCCACACCCTATTCCAGGTGCCCGCCATCAGGCATGCATTCAGGACCTCAAGGATCCACCATCCATCCTGATGGCGGGAGGGCAGAAAAGCCTGACATTTTCTTTACCCTACAGGTACTTTCAAAGCAATACACATAACTCAAGCGCTGCTCCTAACTCAAATAATTTATGTTGCTAGAAATCAGGCCTTTGCTGTCACTAAGACTGGCCATTATGCTAAACAAGATACATGTAAATTAACTTTTCTATCGTTTTCTAGATTTTCTGCCTGCTTTTGGATTGAGTATTTTGTGGGGCTCGAGTTCTATCTCCAGATAGGTGTTATGCCTCTTTTTAAAGAAATGTTTGTATGCATAAATAAATAAATCTTAAAAAAAAAGAATTCGTACACATTGACTCTTCTGCCTTGGGGCATCCTTGGGCCTCATTGTTTTCTCAAGGTAGTTTCAGAAAGCAGGTGAGTTAAATGGAAACCTGCTGCAGGGTGTTATGGTGATTAGCAATTGCATCTCAAAGACTCAGCATGGAATGTTATAAGGTAGAATAAATTGCGCCTTTGAGAAGACATCTACCACCAAGCAGAGCAAATTTCCACCAGGTCAACAGACGCATTACATGTGGCTGCTCTACAGAGACTCATATGGGACCAGTGTTACAGTGAGACAGACCACAGATTTGAACAGGTAAGTTTTTTTAAAAAACAGTAAACTAATGCCCCCCAGACAAGGACTGGGAGCAATTTCATGCTCACCTCTCTTTTCTGATGACTTACAGAAGGGCAGAGGCACTGCCGCCTCTCTAGCTGTGCTAATTCATTGCTGTATACATGAAAAATGGCAGAGGCTCCTTTAAATCAGGTACTCCTTGCTATGGCTTATGTTTGACTCCTGCAAGACATCTGTTTTAGAGATGCACAAGCTAAGTAAGTTTAAATAATATGCTTGAGCCACCCAGCTGGTAAGCAACAGTCAGAATTTGCAACCAGGCCATCACCATCTGACTTCAGTTTATGCCTCCGGTCAGGACACCAAAGTCCATGTCACTGGTATGCTCAGCCCTAAAACAGTCAGGGTGCAAAGAAAGGCACAATCAGCACTTAGAG